ACTTGCCCAACCTGGAGAGCTCCAGAAATCAACCCGAATGCAGAGACAGGATCCATGATTGGAGCGGTCGCGTAGAGACCATGGTATCCTCGGTCGCGAAGGAGAACACCTGGGCAAGGGAGAGGCGGTTTGATGGGTTAATTAAAGAAAAGAAAGGGGCTCTTAACATCGCTAACCTCTTTCAACACGAATAAATGCGAAGGAGGGGAGAGTAAAAGCATCAGTGGTGGATGAACGAGGCTGAGGGGAAGAGACGAGATGAGAGCATCTGCACAGCCCCCACACACTTGCAAGTGTAAGGAAAGTATTGGCACATCAGCGAAGGACCGTGCATAGTCAGAAGAACTAAACAATTAGCACCTGAGCTTGACGCAAGACAGGTTTGTGCCAGGCGTTAGCGAGAGGCCATCGCAAAACTAGAGAACATCGGCGCAGGCACGAGAATAGACAGGACTCCAAAACTAGTTCAACTCGCTTTTATATACAAACTCAACATACTATTTAATCGTTCTAGAAGATTTAGCAATGTAAAGCATGAGCAGCTGAATGCATAGCCGCATCACTCAACGCCACCGATTATGTCAATCAATCCGCCAATGCAGTTGACTTCCTCTGAAAAATAAAAGCAAAGGAACACCTTGGGTATAATACAACAGAAATAAGCCTTTACTAGTCAAGAATAGGCTCACGGGCCCTATGCACCGATAGCGTTCTTGACCCATTTCTCCAGACCCCCCTTTGCAATAATCTCCTGGACATTCGGAGGTAATTCTCCAACCTTGTGTGTCCACTTTGGTCCATTTTCGCCTTCTTGAACCTCGATGAGACTTCTCCGCACATCCCAGGTTAAAGTCCAACCTGTACGACGAGTAAGAACCTTGTCGCCGGAGCCAAACGCCTCACGGAGGCGGCTGATCAGTCGAGGAACTTCGAGACCCATCAGAGCATTGTTGATACTGTTGCGCGAGAAGATATTCCCAAAGCTGCCAGACACAACCAACGGGATCTTCTTTGCTAGGATAGCAGTAGCGGCTTGCTCTCGGGAGCTTCCGCAGCCGAAGTTAAAGCCGCTGACTAGAATATCTCCTTCTTTAGCGGTGCCGGAGAATTTGGGATCGTAGTTCTCCATGCAGACGCGGGCCATGGTCTCGGTGGTCACATCATCTTGATAGGTGTATCTAAAAGAAGTTAGCAAAGTATGCTTCACAGGGGCTTGTACTATACATACTTTCCGGGGTAGACACCATCGGTGGAAAGGTTGTCCTGATCGCAGAAAACGATCTCGCCGGAAACGCTCTCGGGAAAACCAGGGTAGATCTCTGTCAAGCCTTGCTCGGATTCTTCAGCGGCATGGGTCTCGGTCTCAGAAGCGAAACGCTTCTCGCCGTCGGCCACGAGATCATCCATCTGGCCGATCAGCTTCTCCAAAGCCTCTTCGGCTGTGAGCATGCGATCCTCCTCTCGGATGCCGTCGCCTTCACCCCGAACCACTTCAGTCCAACCTTCAGGGGCTTTGTACCAGCCAGGGCCGCTGAGCTTTCCGCTTAGGGCACTTGCAGCGACGACCTCTGGGCTTCCAAGATACGCTTTTGCGTCGGTACTACCCATGCGGCCCTTGAAGTTACGGTTGGAAGCACTGATACCAACCTCCCCAGGCTCCAGTAGACCCTGGCCCATACCAATGCATGGCCCACACCCAGCAGGCAGCGTAATGGCCCCGGCCTCTAGTAATACCTGCCAGTCTCCAGCTTCCTCGGCAGCTAATTGCTCAGGGATCGACGCAGCCGCAATATAGAAATTGACACCGTCAGCAATCTTGGGAATCTTGCCACCGTTCTTCTCTGCAGCATCCTTGAAAACCTTTGCAGCAGCAGAAATGTCTGAAGCTCGCGAGTTTGTGCAAGAGACGAGATAGGCCTTGTTCACCTTAATGTCCTGCGCCTCAAGCTCCTTGAGTGAGGTCGCAACCTTTACTGAGTTAGGCCCGGAAATATAAGGGGAAAGAGTAGAGAGGTCCAGGAAGAGCTCCTTGGCGTATTTGGCGCCCTTGTCCGCAGTCATCGGGTTCTCAAATAGCTGTTCCAGAAGAGGGTGGGTGAATTGTTCCGCAGCCAAGGTTTTGAAAGGACCATCCGCAAGTCCCATAGCCGAGGTTGTAGCCTTGCCTCTCAGCCATCCTTTCAGAACATCATCAATGGGGAACAATCCAGAGAGAGCACCCCACTCAGTCGTCATGTTAGCAATTGTCAACCGAGTATCCACAGACAGGCCTCGCATGGTCTCCTCGGATCCCGTAAATTCAATAGCGTGGTTCAGGACATCATCGTTGTTGAACAATCCGCAAAGGGCGACAATAACGTCCTTACCAGTGACACCAGCCGGTAAAACGCCTGTAAAGGTTACCTTCGCGACAGGGGGTATCTGCCACCAAGTCTTGCCAGTCGCCCAGACACTAGCGGCATCGGTTCTCACAATTGGAGTCCCCAGGCATCCGACGCCACCATACATATTGCTATGAGAATCCGAGGCGACCGCCAGCGTGCCGGGCCAGGCAAACCCCTCTTCTATCATAATCTGATGACCGATACCTCTCCCAGCGGGGTAGAATTGCACGCCGTGTTGACTAGCGAACTCTTCAATTTGACGGTACTTTTGCAGGTTCTTCTCGGACTTATTCTGGACATCGTGGTCGAGGGTCATAACGATCTGGTTCGGGTCATGCAGATTAGATGCTCCAATGGAAAAGAACTTGGAGGCCACGGGCCAGGAGTTGTCGTGTGCTTCTAGAGTCAGCTATCTGGACGGATTCTTTGGTCAAGGGTACATGGAGTCATATACGTACTCATACAGCGGTGCGGCGAGATTGTGACATAGTCGCCAGCCTTGACAAATTTGCCTTGCGGCAATCCGACAGAGTACCTCTGAACAATTTTTTCTGTGAGGGTCTGAGGCACGGCTTTCGAGGAATGGAGTGCAGAAAAGAGTGCGGCGGAGGAGGGATCTTCGAGCTGCGACTGGAAAACCTCTTGGAATTGGCGTCTGGTGGATGTGAAGGTTCGTCGCTGGTAATTCTTTGACATTGCACATCGCAACACCGTCCAGCGGCGGCCGAGGCCGCCTGATGATACTAGTCGTGACTGCATGAGAACTGTACGCCAAACCCAGGCTTGCGGAGTGCGGAGTCTGGAGAAGAGAGAGAGTCTAAATTCTTTTTCTCGACCTTGGCTCCCCTGCTTGGGTTTTGTTCCTGACGAATCAAGTGGCGGTGATTATCATTGGTCTCCGGGATCGGCAAAAAAAGGTTCGTGTGCCAACAACCTCCGTTATCGGAGCTTGTTTCTTCAGCTCGCGCAAGCAGTACGATTGCCCTGTATATTGTATAGGGTAGATTCTGGGGATAGATGATTGTCTAAAGGTGCATTATATCTGTCTGGTACTATACATGGATATCAATTCGGAAACTATTAAAGCTTCCACACGGCCCAGTCCTTGAGGCCAAGCTCTTTTATCACTCCTTGAAGAGGACCCTGCAGCTCCATACCTTGTGCCCAGAGCTTTGGTCCAGCCATATAGCTGATGAATCCTTCTGGTCCCGAGATGAGAATCAAATTACGCTTGCGTGCTTCGGACGAAGACGTGGCCGTCTGAGCAAAATCCAATATGGATTTCTTGCCAATGAACCTGTTTTCTTCATCGACGAAGTACTCAACAGTAAATTGCTCAGGATACTGTGCCTTCAGAGCCTCAAGTTCCCGAACAATCAGAGAACTTTTCGTTTTGTCTTGCACGTCACTTGGAGCAGGCGTGATAACCGGTTTTGATGATCTGAAGATTCGGGAAAACCATGACGTTTGTGTTTTGGCAGCGGTGTCTACATTGTCACTGAGTCCACCCGTACAGTCTTCTAGCCGCCGATTTGCCCAGAGAATGTGTATCCGGGGCTTGTTTGTTTGATCAGTGCGGCGAAGAAGGGTATGGCCTGCTTGGAGTGCCGGTGCGATCCCCGTCCCGCCAGCAATAAAGAGTACTGTTTGCGTATCCGATGGGATCTCGCACTCGATTCGGGGTCCTCGAACTTCAACCGCGGCGCCTATCTTAAGGCTATGCAAGTATCGCGAGACTTCGCCGAAGCGATCTTTACGGATAAAAAACCGTAAGCACCCATCGTCCCCGTCTGATGACGTTGAAGGTAGAGGTGTATAGTCTCTGCCTATTTGAAGTTGTGGCTGCTTGAACATGACACTCCAGATCCCAGTCTTCCAAGCACCATTGTATACCTCGAGATTGTTCCCATCTTGCCCTGGAGGTTTAAGTGTAAACAAGCTGCCGGTTGACGATACGGGTTCTCGGGATACTAAATAGTATGGTGTGAAGCTAGCGGGGTTCAAAGTGGTCGAGCCAGACCTAGATTCCTGTGTCCATCTAAGGTACGCACCAATGCCGACAGCGGTGGCCGTTATCAAGGTCAGTCGCAGCCACCGAGGCTGGGAGGAAGAGGTTGGAGGTTCGGGCGAGGAGGAACTGGCATGGCGTCGTTGCGACCGAACTAATGGCCGCAAGGCCACAGAGTGCGCATGTTGAGAAAGGAGGAAGCCCCGTAATCGGATTCTAGGCTTCATGGGACGGAAAGGAGTTGAGGGTCGGAGCAAGAATTATCGGCGGCGCAATCTTGGACGGGATTCGTTCTTGGTTGCTCTTTTTGAGGTACAAGGGTCACGCACTAGTCCTCATCGGGTACAACTGATGTTCCTCGTTATTATTCGATCTCCAGTCGACGAAAGTCTCGCCGGTCGCCCTTCTTCAGTCTTGTATTTCAAACTCCTTTGTTTTATGCTGCTCTGGTGCTTCTAGGATCAGCCGTTTGTTTTTGGCTGGCCCTAGAGACTTCTTTGGTTGTCCCCCCCCTCTAACTGGCATGGAATCTTCACGGCCGTTGTTCTGATTAACTACCGCCGCAACGACAACTTCTTTCGACACTTGACACAGCTCTCAAAGAAGCCATGTCCCGAATAACCTTCTCGGCTTCTGAACTGCGGTCCGATCATGGCGCCAGGGACTCGCTGGAACTCGCTTCGCTCGCCTCCTCCTCTCCTGAATCCGGTCTCGAGCTCTCCCGCACATCCTCCCCCTCGGGGATCTCGTCCTCGCGCAAGCTATCACTAGAAGACGAAGACCCCCTTTCTAACTCCAACCCATATGCAAATATCGAGTCCTCCCAGTCGCGATCTGGTCGGTCATACTCTGTCTCTTCTGCATTCGATTTTGGAAGGAATCTGTTTCCGTTATCCCAGACCGCCGATGGTTACGCTCCCTTGGGAGCCCCGTCTGCGCTTGACGGAGAAAGCGGCGTTGGCGACGGTTCGTTGGAAAGAAACAAGACATTGACATATATCAATGGTCTCTCTCTGGTGGTGGGATTAGTGATTGGCTCTGGCATTTTTTCATCTCCCAGTCAAGTAAACGCCAATGCGGGATCTCCTGGAGCTGCCCTAATTGCGTGGCTCGTTGCTGGTCTACTGGCTTGGACCGGAGCAGCCAGTTATGCTGAACTAGGGGGTGCTATTCCTCTAAATGGCGGCGCTCAGGCTTATCTGTCTAAGATCTTCGGAGAGCTGGCAGGATTTCTCTTCACTTGGTGCGCTGTGTTGGTGCTTAAGCCTGGCAGCGCAGCCATAATCTCAATCATATTTGGCGAGTATGTTGTTCGAGCAATATTGGGTGCCGAGGTTGAACAGATCAACCCATGGGTAAACAAGGGTGTGGCATTTGGTGGTCTTTTTGTGGTGACTTGTCTAAATTGTCTCTCTACCCGACTCGCTGCTCGGATTGGCGACCTTTTTATGTTCTTCAAATTCGTGGCATTGATTGGAGTTACCATCATTGGCATTATTGTTGCAGCTACAGGCCTTTCGTCAAAAGGGAAGGTGAATGAAGAATGGAAGACGAGCTGGTTTGAAGGCACAAACATGGATATTTCAGGCTGGGCGATGGCGCTATATGCAGGTCTCTGGGCGTTTGATGGTTGGGACAACGTATGTTCCATCAATTACATCCCCAAGGACATCCCACTAACAAGCTGCAGACAAATTACGTGACGGGCGAATTCAAGAATCCTAATCGCGATCTTCCGCGAGTGATCCATACTGCAATGCCTCTGGTCATCGTCTGTTATCTGCTCGCCAACATCTCCTACTGCCTGGTTCTTCCTCATTCCACGATCGAAGCCAGTGATACCATTGCGGTTCAGTTTGGTGATAAGGTATTTGGAAGTATAGGAGCCTTGATATTCGCGCTAGTCGTTTCTGCGAGCTGTTTCGGCGCTCTCAATGCGACCATATTTACCAGCGGACGCCTAGTATACGCTGCCGGTAAAGAAGGTTATCTCCCTACATTTTTCGGGAATCTTTGGACTCAAGGCTCCTCTTCCAATGCTATGAACAGGCTTCAGCACCAGTCCTGGGCGAAGAAAATCGTGTCTCGTCTTTTCGGCAACGGAACCTGGATCGGATATACGCCCATCAATGCTATGGCACTGAATAGCGTACTCACATTGTTATACATCGTTGTTGGGGAATTTAGCACCCTTGTTACCTTCTACGGTGTCGCAGGGTATACATTCTACTTCCTCACGGTGCTAGGCTTAATCGTGCTCCGTGTTCGTGAGCCGCACTTGGAACGGCCGTATAAGACCTGGATCTCAACCCCGATTATCTTCTGCTGTGTCAGCCTTTTCTTGCTCAGCCGCGCCGTTATTTCCGAGCCACTACAAACACTGATTGTAGTAGCGTTCATTATTGCCGGAGTGCCTGTTTATTTCTGGCGCATTTATAAACGCGATGGCCAAAAGGCATTCCGGGGATGGAAATTCTGGCAATCACGATGGTCATGAACTAATTTCACTACTATATTCGTTTCAACCCATTCAGTTTATGTCAGGTCACCGCCTATTGTTTCTTAATTATATCACATTTCTTTCTGGTGAAGGGTCTCATGCATTGAGATCAACTCGCATTCTAGGGCATGAAAGGATCAGGATCTCTCTATTTTATTATTCTACTGACGAACTCACGGCATGCTGGTTTTGGATGGGAATACTTGTTTCAGCATTTGTATTATAGAAACCCTACTGGGGCCTCGCGGTTAAAAGGACAGGATGATTAAATGAGTACTCGGTAGCTAATCCCAGCCAACAACTAATAACTATATACAAAGGATGAATAATCAGATTACAGGAGATACGAAGACTATGAAAATGATTATATCTTATCAGAGCCTTGTGCAGTAATAGTAATGCCTTGGTATTGTCCACCACCGCCACTTTTGGCGAACCCCCAGCTAACCAACGTCCGCACAGCACCTAGCCAGCTACCCTATCTACTACTATGCAGGTGGTACGAATGAAGCCTTGGTACCCCTCAGCTTGTGCTTCTCCACTCTAGACGGAAACCACGCCAGCTGCCGGAAAAGTGACTCCAACATTCGCCTAGTCGCCGTGTCAGTCCGATCAGCCGCTTGTCGGCCCATGTAACAGTCATAGGGCACATGGTTATAAGGATCTTAGAGTTTTGTGTTTAATAATTCAAATACCACTCTCTCACCCACCCCACATTGCGTCCTATTCGACATTCGATACAAGATGGGGAGTCTTCAGCCATGGGAACAGATTGTCTCAAGGAAGCGTGCTATTCGCGACCAGGCTTTGAACCCATACATTGTATCTGATATCAGTAACCGGCCACCACGAGTTCATGCAGTTCAAGATCGGTCTTGCATCAAAGATGGCCCATTGGTCCAAGAAATAACAGACATCCACAGCATCCCCGACCTAGTAGAGCAGCTCCAAAGAGGACACTTTTCTGCCGAGCAAGTTACACGTGCGTACATAAAGAGGTAGGCGCTCGACGTTATTTATTTCATTATTTATTTCACGTTGCTTGTATTGACTCTCTCTCTAGAGCTACAGTGGCTCATCAGCTTGTAAGACAAAGCAACTCTAATCTGCTATCCGCAATCTCAATTAACACGACTACAGACAAACTGCATTACCGAGGTATTATTTGAAGATGCCTTGATACAAGCCCGAGAACTAGATAAGGAGTTCAAAGAGACAGGCCAGGTGAAGGGTCCGCTTCATGGTCTGCCAGTTACAGTCAAGGATCAATTCAACGTCAGAGGCTATGATTCCACCATTGGCTATGTTGGCCGGTCGTTTTCTCCTGCCCAGGAGGATGCAGTCTTAGTTGAGATGTTGCGGAAAATGGGAGCTGTTATTCTGGCTAAAACCAATCTACCGCAAAGCATTATGGTCTGTTTTTACTCTAAATTTGGACAGGCGGCGGTATAACTAACAGCATTCAGTGGGCTGAAACGGAGAATCCTCTTTGGGGCCTAACTGTCAACCCTCGAAACCCTGCTCTCACCCCTGGTGGTTCCACAGGGGGTGAAGCCACTCTACTTGCATTGCACGGGTCTATCTTAGGGTTTGGAACAGATATCGGTGGTAGTGTTCGAATCCCGCAGAGCATCATGGGATCGTATGGGTTCAAACCTAGCGTACGTTTACTATCTCGTTACATCACTTTCAAAGTCACCTAATCAGAAGGATAGAGTGGCAGGCTCCCATACCGTGGAGTTCCAGTGTCCACGGAGGGACAAGAACATGTCCCTTCGGCCGTGGGCCCTATGGCTCGTGATATCGAATCTCTATGCTACATAAGTCGCCTCGTGGCTGATTCCCGCCCATGGGAGCTAGATCCAAGATGCCCACCCCTTCCATGGAATGAGGCCGTCTTCAAGGACGTACAGTCTCGGCCATTGGTAATAGGTCTGATCCTCGATGATGGCGTGGTCAGAGTACACCCTCCGATCGAACGAGCAATTCGAGAACTTAAGGCCAAGCTCGAAGCAAAGGGTCACGAGCTCGTCACCTGGGACACATCTGACCATCTAAACTGTATAAACCTCATGGATCGTTACTATACAGTCGATGGAGGGGAGGATGTGCGCCGCGATATTGCTTCTGGTGGAGAGCCTTTTATACCGCATGTTGAAGCTCTCGTGAACAAAGGAAAGCCAATATCTGTCTACGAGTACTGGCAGCTCAACCGAGAGAGAATGGACCTGCAAAAAAGATACCTCGACAAATGGAATACAGCTCGATCGCCGTCGGGAAAATCCATTGATGTCCTGCTCAGCCCGACATTGCCACATGTCGCAGTGCCTCACAGGAGCGTGCGCTGGGTCGGCTATACTAAGATCTGGAATCTCCTTGACTATCCGGCTGTCACTTTCCCCGTGGACGAAGTGAGGGCCGAGAAAGATGTCATTCAATCGGACTATCAACCGAGGAATGAACTTGATAAGTGGAACTGGGACATCTACGATGCGAAAATCATGGATGGGCATCCAGTCAACGTGCAGGTGATTGGGAGGAAGCTGGACGAGGAGAGGGTGCTGGGTGCCGCTACAGTGATTGAGCAGATTTGGCGGAGCTAACCACCTGTTCTTGAGCATACGCGCCCTTTCGTCCCCCATTTATGAGTGTATCCCCACTCCTGGCGCGGGTTGATGGAGCCCTGCCGCTTTCTACGTAATTTGGAGGCGTGAGGGGTAACGACACCAATATAGTGATGAGTAGACAAAAATGTACCTTATCAGCAGTAGCGAATAGACCAACCAGCTTGCTATGTTCCCAAGTATCCGAGCGCATTCCTGAGCGAATGCCACTTTACTCAGCAAGACGTCAAGATGCGATGAGCACGACCCCTCATGACGGGGCTGCGATCAGAGAGCTGCGGAGAAACATCAACTCCACCAAAAGTTACCTGCGCTTCGAGTGCCACGGATCATACGCCGAATTATAGGACTTGAAGGCCGATCCTATATTCCGTACTCCCGAGGCCACTTGCCATTGCGTAACTGATTAAGCATCCTTGCTTAACGCTTCAACCAAGCTCACCCCACTCTTGCGCAGTATAAGAGGTCCAAGGGAGCCCAGAAAGTCGTACAAATTTCTTCTCCCCAACACTGTTACCATCAGCAACAAAAAGTGAGCAACATGGGAAAGAAGCGAGTCCTCGTTTCCTACGGCGTGGATATCGACGCTGTCTCCGGTTGGTTGGGATCATATGGCGGCGAAGACAGCGCCAGTGATATTAGTCGGGGTATGAACGAGCATAACGCCCTCTCTTACATGCTAGCTAGGATCAATTGATCTAACGGAGAAAAAAAGGTCTCTTTGCCGGACACGTCGGCACCCCACGCCTCCTCAAACTTTTCCAGAAATACAATATCAAAGCGACCTGGTTTATCCCCGGCCATTCGCTCGAGACATTCCCCGAGGAATGTGCCATGGTCCGAGACGCAGGCCATGAGATCGGACTACATGGCTACAGTCACGAAAATCCTACGGACATGACAATTGAGCAACAGAAGATCATTCTCGACAAGACCTATCGCATGCTAACTGACTTTTGCGGCGGAAAGCCTCCGCGCGGCACTGTTGCACCCTGGTGGGAAACGTCTCAAGAGATGACGGAGTTGCTGCTCGATTACGGAATTGAATATGACCATTCCATGTTGCATCATGACTGTCAGATGTACTGGCTCCGGACGGGGGATCAGTGGACGAAAATCGATTATAACAAGAAGCCGGAGACGTGGATGAAACCATTGGAGAGGGGAAATGAGACTGGGTTGGTGGAAATCCCGGGAAACTGGTACATCGATGATTTGCCGCCTATGATGTTTATCAAAAAGGCACCGAATAGTCACGGCTGGGTGAATCCAAGAGATGTTGAGGATATCTGGAAGGTTGGTTTTCAAACCGTCACTTTGCTGTGTTGAAAGATGGAGCTGATTCCTCAGGACCATTTCGATTACTTCTACCGTGAGTATGATGAGTTCGTATTTCCCATGACTATCCATCCGGATGTTTCTGGCCGTCCGCATGTTCTACTCATGCATGAAAGGTGAGTCTTTTGTTCCCGGGAATGTTGGGTGCATGCGTCGCTGGTACTAACAGGTTAGGATTATCGAGCATATCAATAAACACGAAGGCGTGGAGTGGGTGACCATGGAGCAGATGTGTGATGACTTCAAAAGCAAGAACAGGCCTCCCGCCGGTGCTAAGATGCCATCTTCTCCTGCGTCGGTGCCCAAATAGCCAACAACTAATTAATTTAACAAACATATGATGTTCATTCGCTCTCCGTCCTATCCGTTGCTGTAGTATAGGCTAGATCAAGAGCAAGCACAAAAACGGCTTCAGTGCACTATTCATAGTCTTAAGATTAATAAGTGGGAATATACATTTGCTTCATTAGATTAACGTTGTTCGTCCAACTCCTCCAACATCGGGGAGTATGCTAGGCTATCAACGAGCTCGCGCTTTATGACTTTGGGGGCTCGAATAGCCCCGGTTTCATGTTTATTTTGCAGAGTTTGGAGACACATCCGCTCAACTGCAAAAGTGACTGCACACCGTCCAAAATTCGCATATGCGTAAAGCCAATCTCGCGGATGAACTCTAATTTCGAATGTTCAGACAGGGTTGGAATTGTCTTCGTCACCTTGAACATGGTGCTTATAATGTCGTGGGAGGAGTACCCCAGATCCCTGTTCGCAACATTAACAACTCGAACCTATGAGTAGGATGGGGGTGAGTACCATAGCTCATTCAGCGTTTCCAAAGCAGCATCTATTTTCCCCTCCCAGCAGGCTTTAATCATTGCTTGGACCTTGATTGGATGAGGGCTGTCAACAACGCGGAACACGTTATCCCCACTGACCAAGCCAAACCCGGACCAGGTACTCTGCAGGTTGTTTAGGGCCTGACGCATATCACCCTCGGCGCTGAATACCAGCGCTGCAAGCCCATCCTCTGTGTGTTCTACCTTTTCCGCATCACAAACCTGCTTCAGTCGCTTGACTATCTGTGCATCGGTCAATCGAGCGTAGCGGAGAATGGCACATCGGGATTGGAGCGGTTCAATAATTTTATTTGACTGGTTGCATGCAAAGGCGAATCGTGTCGTAGAAGAGTAGATTTCCATTGTTCGTCGCAGTGCTTGCTGGGCACCGGAAGTCATGCTGAAGGATTTCATGAGCATGGAACCCAAACATATTGGCAGGTACAAACCTATCTGCTTCATCCAGTATAACAAGCTTGTGGCGGCCCGGGGGTAGTGTGACCTTTTTTTGCGCAAATCCTTTGATACGATTCCGCACGACATCGATACCTGGAAGGCTCAATCAATCAGACTCTGAGTGTCTCCTCAATTGAATGTGAGTATACCTCTTTCATCACTAGCGTTCAGCTCCAAAACAGCCTCCTTGTAGGCATCTCCCAGCAACTGTCGCGCCAGGCAGAGAACTGAGGTCGTTTTTCCGATACCAGGCATCCCCGATATGATAACGTGAGGCATATTTCCATCTTTGGCAATGATTTTTAAGCGTTCAACAGTTTCTGTGTTACCAACAACATCGTCCAGAAACACTGGACGGTATTTTTCGACCCTAAAGCAGGGTTAATTCCGAAACTCTCGCACCTTCTTTTGAGCCGCGTACCAGGGCAGTTCATAGTCCGGAGGTGCACCAGAAACATTGGCCTTTAGAGCATTGCGAGAAGCATTGGCTGAGGATTCAGCTTGAACCATGGTGGAAATTTTTGCTATTGCAATGGTGTTGGTATGGTCGAAGCTGGCGAAGAAAGGTCACGATGTTGGGAGACGCGAAATTCGGCCCCGACGCGTAGCTATTTTACCGCTTTTGGCCACGGCCCATGTTTGCTTCGTTTGCATGGCTACGGTCTATCGTTTGATGCTCCAGATACCGCAATGTGAATGTCTCAAAAGCAGTGGTAAGGGGCATTATTAATCAATAGGCCTGGTATACTGACTTGCTCATTTTCTCGGCTGCTTTAGGATGGCCATATTATCCTGATGACGATACCTTCAACCGATTGAACCGAAATCGACGCCCTAGCTCATGCACCTATTCTTAACCAACAATTATATTTTTAATGCCATCGTTCGTTCTTGAAAATATCAAACACGATGGGAACAACCTCCGTGCGCCGCAACCTCTTCCAAAACCACCTCAGCAGGCGCCCAGTCTCCACGTCCGGTCCAAGTAGCGGGCCTTCGGGTCTTTCCTCCCAGGTGGCACAGCCGAATGCCCCTGAATCCAATTCTTCCCTGGCTGTCGGCTCTATGGATGATAATGAGATTGTGGTAAAGGACAAAAATGGAAGCTACAAGCTAGAAATTCCTGTGTTGCCGCCTATCATGGGTGACGACGGGGACGACATGGAAGGCATTGAGGCGGGAGGAGGCCCTGGTGGAAACCCCACAGGCGCCACAGCGGCTAGTTCTACAGGACAAGGTGAGATGAATGGCGGAGAGAAATGCAGTGCGTTGGCTTCTTATATTCTAAAATGGCCCCTTATCCTAATGTACTAACTCCCCTCCCTGCGGGTATAGAGATTGAAGCGGGCCTGGTAGAAATGATGTACCGAAATCGAAACAGACAAATGAGCAGCGAACCGCATGGTGAGTTTGCTTACTCTGCAATTCTCTCATGAGACCGCTGTTCATGAAACTGACCCTGGCAGAAATTCTAAATCTCGTTCACCAGAGTCTCGCAAACAGAGTGGCTACATTGGAGGAGGACAATTGGATGTACGAAGCTGAAACTAATAGCCGTGCATAGCGACAACCGATCCTTATCAGCACATATCGGCATTCGAAGCCACGAAATGGGATCACTACTTTTGCGATAAATTTGGCAGGCGCTATCTAATCAAGTTCCATATTTGATGGTGGTGCTTCAACCTTCCTCGGCTGATTCCTTCCCTGTGTTGGTCTTCTACCGCCATCCTGGCCGCCCCCGCCAAACAGCATGCTCCCCATCATATCCAATAACGGATTTCCTTGTCTAGGAATGTTGATCGCGAAATATTGCTCCCCGATTTGGGCGAGTGCATCATCAAAGACGCCGGCCTCTCTAATTTGCGTAGCATAGTGCGCAGTTAGCTGCTTGAACAAATCTGCAGTGCCTCGCTGAATCGACAGCAGCAGCAAATTGAGGAAGTTCAGCAACGGGAGAGCTGGGTAAACTCGAGCGTCCGAACTCGCACTGCTGACTTCTTGCACGCCAAGGTTCGGGTTCGCTGAGCCGAGACGAGATGTGAATATCAAGAACGCTTTGTTGGCACTGCGCAGGTTGCCGATCAAGAGGAATGGGATTACAGCGCGTGCAGCGTAAATACCCGCCGTATGCGGCTCGTCGTTGGTGTACCACTCATACTCGAGTTTCGCCAGTGTCTCAGCCGATTCGGAAGTACCCAAAGCAAGATGCTTTTCGGCCTCATAGGGCTCCTGGTCTGAATTGGTTGTTAGATATTGCCATGCACCTTTGTCAGATTGCAGCCATACCTTCCGCGTACACAATTCCAGCAGCATGGTGTAGTTCCGGGTCCCCTCGTTCCACCGGCCCAAACCGTCCGCTCCAACCAATTGATTCCTGAATAAACCTTTTCCTGGTAGGCTCCTCCGACGGGAATTCACGTAGGAGTTCGATCAGGCGCTCTACAGACCATAGGTTATTAGTCGTGGATGTTTTGAACGATAGAAGTAGCGGAATAAAATGCCATCCAACTCACTCTTACGAACGCGGCCTTCCACGTCGTCGTCGCCCCCCACAAGACCCCAGCCTGCCTTGACATATACCTCGAGCACAAGCATGATCGCTAGATCTCCTCCACTAGCCGAAGCCCCCTGCTGCGAACCAGCTCGGAGGAGAGCAGTGGCTCCACCAGCCAATATCTCCGCCGCCGCATCATAGTTGCTCTGTTTAATGTACCGCGCAGCGATAACTCGTAATTGTTGGTGAGCCTCATAGTATGCTCCGGAGGCAATCCTGGAGAGAAAGAACGGACGCAAGTTAGCTCCTCTGAATAAACATGTCCCCTATGGCAGTATACCAAGGCCATAGGCAGAGGGAGGGATCTTACTTCTCTCGTTGTCGAGCAATCGTCTTGTCGATTCGTGAGGTCATTGTGTTTTAGCGACCACCGCAGCGGCAATCGAGTCTGTGTGGGAAACTTTGTTATGGTGTAGACAGCGAATGAAAGATAGAAAACTTGAAAGGTAGGAAGGTAGAAAATCGGTTGCAGTGCGGCAGAAATGGTTCTTGAGCAGGAGAAAGTTGTTGCGCAGGACAGCTTTTTGGTGGGGACGCAGGCTGGACTTTGGAGGGACGACGGACTGCATGATGCGGATCTTCCTAGCCCGCTAAGATTAATACAAACACCGAGGAGCCTCTCCCGTTCAACCCCTTGGTTACATATGCGCTAAAAAAAGGCTGCTCCGGGTGACACGCTCTCCTTTATTTGATTAATCAGAGAACTCATAGTCAAGAAGATGAATCGAAATACTTTCGACATCCAGCCCATCGGCCGCTTCTATGGGTCCAGTGCGGCCATTCGACGGCCGAAGGTAGGCACTATGAGCATCTCTTTCGCATCCTTTATATTCAAAAAATATTTATTAATTTAAACCCCCAGGAAATTGCTTGCTTCTCCTACGATGACCAACATAGCTATCATCTTGGGGATTCGTCCCTGCGGTACTACTACCCCCCGCAACTGCCAGCGGATCTAAACCGCGGCTTTGAAACTTTCCAGAAGCTAGATGATGCAGCCGATGAGCACCTTGATGCACTTCTAGACACTGTTAGCGCCCTGGAAAGAGAGACTGGAAAGAAATGCGAAGCCGACATCATCACCTGGCGGGGAATGATGACCAAGGTAAGTTATACATCACGACCCCTATCACTTGAAGGCCGGGCCCGTAACTGAAAGTGTGATAAATAGATTCTCACTGCGCCATTTGACAATATGAATGGGTGTGTATGTAGCGCCGATTAGCACACTTTTCGCTAATGCTATGCGCGTAGATTCGAGATGAATGCAACGTGTTTTCAGGTAAGCTAGACCCTGTGGAACTCAAGATTCCAGCCCTTATCTGACTCGCTCTATTAGGGGACTATGTGCGTATGCTCTGGTATTTCATAGAGAAAGTGGCTGAGACTTAACCGTGTGTTCCTCGCTTAAGATTCATCGAGGAGAACAATGCGTACAAAAACGAACAGAAGCAAATCCAACGAAGACAAAGAATGCCGCCAGGGATGGCCTCCCAAGACCTAATGGCGTACTGGGGTTCGTGACCATTTCTCTTCCTAAAGGCCGTGTTGTTTGTTTTAATGCCCGACATATAGGCTATAAATTTGAGACTATATCTGTTCTCGATAAGACCTGGGACGCGGCAACCAGAGAGGAAATTGAAGGCCGCGAAGACCTTGTTGTGAATAACAATGCGCAGTATTGCTCAATTGCGCGTACCGGAATCGGGCGTGCGAAACTCGTCCTCGGCGGCGAAGTCGATGCCAGTATGCTTTTTCCCGTTCTCCAAAGGTCCCATAGCAAATTTGTCTCTAACTGCGGTCTTGTACTATTTGGTAGTCTGGGACAGTAAGCCAGAACGCAAGGAAGAGCCTATCAACTGGGTAGAACTCAAGACATCTGCCGAGATCAGAAATGACAGAGACATGGTCAAATTCGAACGGAAACTGCTGAAATTCTGGGCACAATCTTTTCTCCTCGGCGTGCCCAAGATCATCGTTGGGTTCCGTGATCAAGATGGAATCGTGCGTCGCTTGGACGATCTCGAGACAGCTAGCATTCCGAGCAAAGTGAAAAAGTCAGGCCGTGGGACCTGGGACGGCAACATCTGTATCAACTTCGCGGCTTCGTTTCTGGAATGTACGTTGTCTTTCCCATCTTGTATTCAATTTTATCACACACCTAACATTTTCGTCTCCTAGGGCTCAAATCCACCATCCAGGAAGGAGGAACATGGAGGCTCCGAAAGCAGGAGAAATCTTCTGTCATTGAGGTCTTCCAAGTTGAAGAGAGTGGTTCCGGCGACATCCTTTCACAGGACTTTCTGTCTTGGAGGTCAACAACATGACCTCACTTTACAACTTTCCACAAACTGGTCTTATCTTTTGTGGGCAATCAAGCTCTCTACAGGCCTCAGAATCGGTTAGCGTCTATCTATTTCTATCAGGATCGCTGCCCATATTCGGCTGTTTGGCAAAACTGTCTTGCCTTTGGCCTCATACTTATTTGACCTGTTCGGACTATCTCCGCGCCAATCAAGCCGGTTATGCTACTGCAGTTACCACGATCGGTTGGCCAACTCCCAATCTGCTACTTATTATATCTGCAAGGCACTAGCTTACTTGGCTGATCAACTTGCACGATGAGTAGAAGCTCTCGCCAACTCTACCGCTAATACAGAGCATGCCCGCGGTTAAATTTACTTGGGGTGCCTGGCAATATACATCATTGACTGAATTTTATATATTATTATTATTCAGTGACTTCTCCTTGCAGTGTTTGTGAGTCCAGCTCCTTGGTGCTATCCCGAACATGCTGTTCGGTATTCTCCAGACTCTCTTGTTGCCTCCGTAGATATGCTGCTCGCTCTTCCTTCCTCGCCAGACTCTTCAGAACCCTTTTATGAGCACTACTATGCATATGTATTTTCCACTGCTCCTCGTTTGTCATTGTCTTGCGGCATATATCGCAAGTAATACACTTTGTCGCACCCTGGCTAGATGGTAGTGGTTGTGTCTCCTTAGCGTCTAGAACTGTCCTTGCCAACTCTGAGAGTGATTTGGGGTCCGGTAAACGCTCATCCTTCAAGAGAGCTTCCACAAGGCGCTCTGATGGTTCTGTGATGCTCGCTGTCCAGTCTTCGACATCCGTGCTGTCCAGAATATACAGACGACTGGTCATGCCCGCCCCCGCAAGCCCATTCCAAAGTTTGTTGCGAATCCACTTGATTTGAGACGTGGCGTACTGACGGGTTGCAATCTTGACTGACTCAATACATGACTGCCTGATGCTCTCTAGTTCTTTCTCTGTCATGGAGTTGTCTTTAAGAGCATCAAAATAAGGTGCTAGCTCCTTGAATCCGATAGATATCCAGACTCCTCGGGTCTGGTCGACAGTGATACCTTGGGCCTCATTCTCCTTGATGTAATCTGTCATACGGCTTGCCTCAGACAATAATCCCTGGTCAACCATGGCATCAACGCGCTTAAACAACCTCTCTTGCAGTGTGGACTTTTCAGAGTGCACCCAGAATATCATCGTGTTAAAGCGTAATTGTCCTGTACCGGCAGTAGCATCATCATTTCTTTCTGCCGCCTGGTTCGGCAGTCGTTGCTCGGCATACACCTGCGATGCTGGCTTCCCTGTCTGAAAATATATTTCTAATGATCGACGAATCTTGCGTGTATCTTTTGGATGCCACCGTTCCGCCATTATGGGATCAACCTCGCGTAATTTCTGCAATACCAGCTCCGGCTCCGCATCAAGAATGGGCCACTTGACCGCTGAGTCAATATCCTCCGCTGGGCAGGAATTAACCTCTTCTTCTGACGAGTCTGACTCCTTATCCACGAGCTGATCCTGAAACAGCACAGATTGTGTATAGTAGTGGGTACCACCGACTAGCACAGGCAGTTTCCCTCGCGCATGGATATCGTCTACGAAGCGTAAACACTCTTTTCGGAACCTCGATATTCGCCATGGGTTTTCCTCCAAGTCTATACAACTGATCAAATGATGTGGTATGCCATTGCGTTCTTCGATGGGGATCTGATTCGTGATGATAGGGAGGCCACGATACATCTGCATCGCGTCTCCATTGATGATTTCGCCATTGAACCGAGAAGCAATATCAACTGCAAGCTATCTGTGTTTGTCAGTATCCACTATGCGCACTTGTGAAGCATAAAGGAGAAAGAGAGAGAGAGAAGCAGAGAAGCAAACAGAGAGCCAACTCACCTTGGACTTCCCTGTGCCCGTGGCACCCACAACAGCTATGAGAGGGCGCATTGCCGAAAAGCGTCGGAACGAGAATATGGAGGAAAGAAACTTGCGCATGAGAAAAATTAGGCAATCTAGACCGGCATGCCGAGCATCTCCCTAAGGCTATAACTCTATCCTCCGGGGAGTGTAGAACAAGGTGTGGCGATAAAGATAAAAGGCTGGAGGTGGGTAAAAAAAGTGACTCCATCCTTAGCTCAGCGCCCCGCCTTATCAATTCGTCAGTAAGAGTTACATCGCGTGCTTTTTTAGATGAAAACAAGGTGAGTCATTACACTGGATTTACTTTTATAATATCAGTCGCGTCCTAGCTAATGCCCTTCAGCTCTTCTGCCGCCAGTTAACTTCTCTCCCGTCATGTCCGACTCACCGGAAATCCACGTACAGAACTTAACCTACAAGTTCCAAGATGGCTCGCCCGGATTGACAGAAGTCGGTTTAGATTTACCAGCGGGGAGTCGGACTTTGCTAATCGGAGGTACGTAATACCTGATAAGCCTGAATACCTGGTGAAGCCCTGCTAAACGCTCATTCTAGCCAATGGAGCCGGCAAAACCACCCTACTACGATTAGTTTCAGGTAAACGCCTAGCCCCCAGCAATACGATCGCGATTGCGAACAAAGACCCCTTCAAAGAAGGCCTCGAGGGCGTCACCTACCTCGGCGTTGAATGGGTCCTCAACAGCATTGTCCGGACCGACATCGACGTGCCTACTCTCCTTGCATCTGTTGGCGGCAACGCTTATCCAGAACGACGCGATGAACTTGTCGATATTCTCGATATTGATCTGCGATGGCGCATGCATGCAGTTTCAGATGGAGAGCGGCGTCGTGTCCAATTAGCCATGGGTCTCCTACGACCATGGCAAGTTCTCCTCCTCGATGAGATTACTGTTGATCTTGACCTGTTGTCGCGAAGCAACTTCCTTGCGTTCTTGAAGAGGGAGACGGAGACGAGACCGTGCACGATTGTCTATGCAACTCATATTCTGGATAATCTGGCGCATTGGCCGACACACTTGGTGCACATGCATCTGGGGAATGTAAGGCAGTGGGGTCCTATCGAGAAGTTCAAAGACGAAGCTCCCGCAACATCGGAGAATAGCCAGCTAGGGGAAATTGTGCTCAAGTGGTTGAAGGAAGATTTACAGTCTAGGGGACCGCGAAATGGGCGCGGCAATCAAGCGAAGACTTACGAGTCTGGAGGAATAGGGGGCTATGGTTATGAGAAGTATGATAAGAGATAGAAGGCATAACCTAGGTGCATTTCTTCCTCTCTTGTTCTAACTTCTAGGGTTCTTCCAATTTTCAGTTTTCATGACCTTTCAACAACGACTGTTTTTCTCAACCATGTGGCATGGCAAAGCATGCGAGGGGGGTTCAAAGTATTCGCTTTTTAGACCTGGAGTTTCAACATTTCAACTTTCTTCATAAACCTTACAAGAGTCTTTCGACCTTCGACGGTCAGGTTTTGGATATGGATTAATTTCCTAAAGAACATTATTTCTTTGGGTTGGGGTTTCAACATTGGTACAGGAGTTCTTCAACATCATGAGTCGGATTCAGGTCCACGTTTTGTTTTAGTTGATATTTGCCTATATAAATCATGATCACGGCTCGGGCATCATGCTTGAGATGCTGTATATACGTATTGAAGTGTCTTCGCTTGCGACAGCAAGTTCTAGGCTTTCCTTCCCTTCTCCCGTCTCACTCAGATGTGAGACGGGGCGCCATGATAGCTCCGTGATAGTTTTCGACGGTGAGTTGTCTCTATCAAAGCTCACTAGCGGGCTGGCTTCTAGATTGTCCACGTTGATTTGATGGATCGAGAGCTTCCCGTCATCCTCCCCCACTGCAATGAAGAGCAACCCATTATACGCATGTGGGAAAAATGAGATGGCAGTGACTGAGCTCCTCGCAGGAATGGTAGCTTTACACTCGACTGACTCACCCGTTATCTGCCACAGCTTGATCGACTTGTCTCGACCCGCTGTAGCGAATATCGAAAGGTAAGGTTCTGATGCAGGAGCCCAGTCCGCATCAAGAATCATGCGCGAATGACCCTTCGGGTTGGATGTCATGAGCGCAAAAACCGAGGGTTTTGATTCACTTCGACGATAAACTGCCCACTGGCGATCTCGTCCAACGCTGAGCAAGTACTGGTCATCAGAAGAAAAAGAGAGGCTTGTGATAGTCAAAGTATGCGCTGCAAGTGATGGACGAATTTCGTGCCAGTCGGTCGTGTCGTACAGGCGCACCACTGCATGGTCTATTGAGCTAGCTTTGCACGCAGTAGCGATGACGGTGCGGTCGTGACTCACAGCCACGGCGGATATCTCGTATCCATGACCGTAAAGCTTTTCGTGCTCGGGCCACAAGGTGTTACGAGCCAGCTGGTCCTCGAGAGGGGGGCGGGTCGAATTCGATAGTATCGCTTGATATGCATGGCCTTGCCCCGCGCCCTCGGCCTCAACCGTATCTGATTCCACAGGGGCTTCCTCACCCACAGCTTGATTGGACAAACCCAGTACTGGGATCTGCGCTGTATCTGGAAGTTCGCCCTCTGCAGTCTGTGCGAGCCCAGAAAGATTTTCAAGCAACTGGGCAATAGGTCTGGGTTCGTTGAATACTCGTAGAAGCTTTTCTTCGGCACCTGATACGAAACGTTGCGGTCCCAGTGTATCAATGCAGTTTAAATCATAGCCGTGGATTTGTGGCCGGGAGAATTCGTGCCACGACTTTTTCCCATCGCGCAGCCATTGTGCATGGAGTCTGGTTGTTTGGTCCGCGCTGGTCGACAGAAGATATCCTCCAGAAGGCTCCCATTGGATTCCATTCGCAGGTCGCACATGCCCAGTGATGCCTAGAGTCTGGACCCAGATATCAGCTTCGGCATCATATATCCATGCCCTCCAGCTACCCGTACGTCCAAGGCTGACAACCTGTTTACCGTCCGGTGACCAGAGGCCAATCCAAAAGCCTCCAGTACTGCCAGTTGCTGTGGTAGAGCCTTTTTGTACACTGAGCTCTCCCATTCGTTCGGCAGAGAGCCATACTCCGGATACTGGATCCTGCTCCCAGATAGTCAAAGTATTGTCTGCGGATGCAGTGAGAAGTTGCTGGCGCTCGGGGTTTGGATTCCACGCAGTAGTATATATCCAATCTTCGTTGCCGAATAAGAGGGCCTCGAACGTCATGGAATACTTAGAGCCTGCCGCGTCGAACTGATGGGCTTTATTGGACAATGTCGGTTCGAGTCCGCCCAGAACAGGGTCTTCATTCGGTCCTGCAGCCGCAGCCTCTCCACGATTGAGTCGCCATAGTCGAACATACTTGTCTTGGCTCGCGGAGGCAAGCAAAAGGTCACCTGTCTTGCTCTGCATGTCCGCAGTGAAAGAAAGAGAACGCACCCAGGCCTCATGGCCGGAAAGTGTAGCAGACATTTTGAAGTGTGGCGTCGTAACAGTATCTGCGGCAACGTATATTTGCACATTATCGGTGGTGCCAGCAACCGCCAGTGCCGCTGGCCTGTCTTGTGTTTCTGTCGGAAGCGGGGCTAATGCCAGTGCCAGCGGGAAATAACGCGGCTTCATTGGTATACTCTCCAACAGCTCACCTCCCACAGATTCTCCGGCATGTATCCTCCATATCTTGATGGTTCCATCAGCTCCTCCCGTTGCGATAATGTCAAGGCCTTCGTTTATAGAAATAGCATTGACTGAGCCCGTATGATCCGTCAAAGCAAGCACATGAGCAAATTGCCTGTGATTAGTTGGTTCGGCTCTCCATAAGCGCACGGTACAATCGACAGAGCCAGTTATGAGGAGCTTTGTTCCTGTCTTGGGACAGGTATAAAATCGGACGACGCTGACCTTGTCCGTATGGCCAACGAGAAGCGAATAGACACCACGATTTGATTCTTCCTACATGCAAATAGAACATTATATTAGAAATTGGGACCAAGAGGGGGTGGGCAACTACCCGAGTTCACATACCAGAGGATCCCACAAGGCTACATTATTATCTGCACCGTAGGCCAGGATGCCGGACTGAACATCCCAATCCGCGGCGGCGGGGTGCCTATTTCCGCCGACGCTAATGTATTCGGTGGTGATGGAGACCATAAAGTCGGCGAAGGAGGGATTTGGTCTTCCAGGTGGGTTGTTCGTATTATCTAGGGAAAGAAGGAACAATGGGAAGAATATGGGGTTAGCTCCAGCAATCGGAGTGACAACGCCCAAGGAGATCCGCCGGAGGAACGGTCGACTTTTTTTGTGGCTTATCGATAACAGCCAAGAGACAGACAAGAGCCCCTCCTCCATCCTCCGCTTTTTGATCTGTTACCCCCGGCGATACCAGTCGAGACAAGAAGACTACTACTGCCTTTCATTCAAATTTGTGCCGTTGTCCCATTAATTTGTCAAATACGGTTAAAATCAAACTGCAATGGCACAAAACGACCCCAACTCGATAGCATTTACAGTAGAATTCACGTGCGTATTCTGCTTTTAAGGAATCTCGAAAGATAATAAACTGACGTCTTTAATCCGCAGAGGCGGCCTGGAAATTCTATTTGACAATGAGCGCAAACATAATGTGACCTTGCCAGCTCGATTGAGTGATGGCAGCCCACCAAACATATCCTTTCTCCTCCGGTACTTGGTCGATAACTTGATGAAGGACCAAAGAAAGGAACTCTTTGTACTAGAGGATAACGTGTATGTGATTATCAATGAATGGATGCAACAATATAGCTGACTCACAACAGACGGCCGGGAATCCTTGTGCTTATCAATGATGCCGATTGGGAACTGGAGGGCGAGGAGAAGTACGAGATTCAACAAGGAGATACTATTGTATTCGTTTCTACGCTACATGGAGGATAATTCAAGCGCTATTTAAGCCAATAATCGTCCCGTTGTCTATCAATCATCTGCATGCCGCATGCCGGAGAACCACTTTTAAATTAGACAACATCTTCCACATGCTGCTGTGAAATCCTCTCGGGCTCGCGAGGAGTCCGTATACCACCTTGCGGCGTCAATACGCCGTCATTCGGAGACCCGATACCTTGGACTGAAGGGGTATTAACACCACTAGGAGGGACCGGGATCTCAATGTCTTGGGGTGACCCAGGAATGATCTCAGTTGGCAGATCGGGAATTTTGATCCTGCGGGCCTCGTTTTGGTAACTCTCGGGAATTATCTAGAGGGGTTTCAGTCAATATAGATCGTGCACGATATTACAATATAAAAACCCACTTCTATTATTTCGTCGCGGGGAAATTCTAAGAATGGAATATCCGCGGCATTGCACGCCATGAGGTAACCATACAGAACCCTAAGCACACTCTCATGGGCAATGATTAGCAGGTCGTTCTGTTCCCTTTCAAGTTCCAAAATTATCGGTTCAAGTCGCACAGCAAGATCATGGTATGACTATAATGAGTTAGTAACAAGGGGGTAGAAAGTGGGAGATCAGCAGTCGCACCTCTGCCCGGGGATATCTATGGTGATAAGGGTCAAGCCCATGCTTAGCCACTTCATCCGGGTATTCTTCCCGAATTCTTCTCTCAGACTTCAATTCACAAACGCCTGGATTCAGCTGGCTCAGCTGAGATCTCTGCCGAACTTTGTACCCCTTTTCATGCAAATCCTTTGCAGTCTCGACTGTTCGGTGTCTCGTAGAAGTCCAAACTGTCAAAGGCTTAAGCTCATAGTCGGTCTCTCCTTGATCAATGATTGCCTGCTTTTCGGATTCTCTGTCGTTCAGCAGAGTTTCGGTCATTTTTCTAGCATAATCCTGCCCCTTTTCGGACAGAGGGCCATCTGCCTTATAGGAATTGGCATCCACCGAGACACCAGCCTGTCACAATCCAGAACATCAGTCGCTGCTCATTCACGGTATCTGAGTTCTCACCCACCCGAGCAAAGTATGTGCGTCTCGTCTTGATATGAAGATTGAGAAGATAGAACACTATCCGATTTGACAGGTAACCAAAACTTTTGTTGTTGACAATCAGTCTCTCCCCCGCATTTATCATCTATCCACAAGTTAGTCAGATCTCGTACTATTTTAAACAAACAATGTTGTACCTTGATATAGTTGAGATCTTTTTCTTCCATGGTATGAAACTGGGGGATTCTGGCAGATATCCGAGCCAAATAGTGCTTGACAGCATCCTCAGATGTCCAACCCACATACTACTGACTATCAGCATTCCATATGGCCCACGGAAGCCCAGTAAACTGTACTAACATCTGGTGATGATATCTTGACCCTGCGGACATTCTCCTCAATGATGCGATAGTCATCGCACCACGACTCGATGAATAATGTCTGGATACAGGGATGAGTATCACATATCTTCAGGTCAGAGATGATTGACCAACCTCGATCTCATGTTTGGCAAATTCATTTGCGAGAGATCTCCGCCCAGCGGCCGATGGGTTCACAGCGTCGTAGATGGCAATCTGGCCATTTTCCTCGTTTAGGAACTGATATATATCCTCACGACACCTCTTTACTATTTTCTGTCTAAGAAGAACTGACGATGCAGATGCTAAGGGTAATTAGCAAACAGAAACGATGGACCTCACAAGGTGTGAAGGAGAAAAAGACACAAGATCCAATTCTAAGCATTCAGATATACATACCATTCACGAAGAAGTAATCATCCGGGATGTCTTCCCCATGGGGAATAGTAGCTCGTCGATAGTCTCCTAGATGGAATATCCTGGTTTTGACACCTAGCCTACGACGCGATTAGGGCGACTCGGGAAATTCTGGAAATTTGTACGACTCAACCTACCATCGAAGATACCGCGCCATCGCTACAGACATATGGCTAAGTCACAGTCAGTTTTGGGGATTTCGAGCAAATTAGATATATATGATTGAACGCACGTCTTGCCTCTCGCGGGGAGGCCTACAGTAATAATGACAATCCGACCTGAGTGAAAAAGCCTACCAGACTCAGTGCTATATAGCTGAGCTGGGGCAAGATCGGCCTTTTCTGGTAAGTCATGGATAGCATCGACAAACGTCGACGACTTCCGTCGAAACCGTGGGGAGTTCACGACAATCTCCGCTGTTCTAGTTCAGGTCAGATCGCAAAACTTCTACCTTCATTGCAAAACAAATGAATAACTCAAATCGTGCGGCGAATATGGGATCGGCAGCTTACAAGAGCGTATCCATGACAGTGGCGGGTGCCCAGTTATACAGGGCAGGGCGTAAACAGCTTGGAAAGAAGTGATAACAATATCTTCCTATTTACCAGGAAAGTGGTAATGATGAACCGCCCCGAGTAGCTAACCCAAGGTCCAAAAAAATTAGTGCAGTGCTAAGCCGAAATGGCGGGGCGTGAGAAGGGAAAGAGTTAAGGCCTGATAACTTGGAGGCTAGTTGCAGTGTAGCGGTATATGTAATAGGCATAGGCAAGTGCCGGTGCCGCAGTCCAACTGCTAGGTAGCTCAGGAAGTGAGGATATCAAGTGTGGAAAGACTAAGAAAACAGCTAAACAAATCCATGAAAATAACGGAAAGGGAAAATAAGAAAAATGAGCATTAATGGCACAGGAACAATGGCACGTAAATAAGACAAATCATGGTGGCCTCCCGATAACTTGGTAGTATCCCCATTATATCATCATGGATCTCGGCCAAACAGAAGATCCCGTCCCGGGAGAGTCCGAGGTCGCGGCGGCGGCGCGGAGAGGCCAAAGACGCAGCCTCAAACAGCAGGTGACTTTTTTTCAAGGCCAAACTGCGACTTCTCGAGTTGCCCTTCGGAGACATCAACATCAACAGCCATTCCCCTGCCGCTGCGGTGTCTCATTTTTACCGTCCTACCTCCCCCAATCGACCAGGCGTGACTCAACTAGCTCACTTGAGGTCATCTAGCATAACTCTCACGCCCCAGGCTCAATCCCGGAGCTAACCTGAAATTCTTTTATTCCCTATCTTCCACCGACACTGGCCGCGTTCAAGACAACCTAACGGCCAACTCCGGTTCTTCTGGTTTCATTTTCGATTCACAGTCTTCTTCTTCTTCTACATATAAGCTACAATGGCCGACTATCTAGCACCACCCGCGTTCCTGACGGACAATACCGTCGCCGCTGCCCTCAAAGATGCATACATCTCATTCTCCGACCGCAGGGCGGCCCTCGGCCTACCTAACCCGGGAACGGTGGAAAATGTTGGCAGGGAGGTGCAGAAGGACGTACTGCTCTCTAACTTTATGTTCTCCGGTCTCCGTGCGGACTTGACGAAGATGTTCAGCATGGCTCCCCTGTTCCGTGTGTCGCATGCTTTCTCAATGGGCGGCTCAGGAAACATGGCCCCGTACGCATTCTCCGCCATGTACGGATCCCAAAATGTAAGTAATAACGGTATCTAGATAGGCTTGCTTCAAGTCAATGCTGACGCGATGGTGGACAGGTTTTCATGCAGGGTAATTTCGGAAGCGACGGTGGCCTCGCCGCTCTCTACAACTACAGGTGGACTCCCAAGCTGGTCACGAAGACCAACGTTCAGATCATGCCTGGAGCTGAGCAAGGCCTCATTCAGCTTGACAATGACTACACTGGCGATGACTTCTCGCTCTCCCTCAAGGCTTTCAACCCATCGTGCTTAGATGGTGGTCTTACCGGTATCTTTGTTGGAAGCTACCTACAGTCTATTACCCCCAAGTTGGCTCTCGGTTTCGAAACGATCTGGCAACGACAGGGTCTGAACACTCGCCCGGAATCCGCCGTCTCCTACTCTGCCCGGTACAAGAGCGATGATTGGATTGCCAGCGCCCAGCTACAGGCCCAGGGCGTCTTGAGTGCCTCTTACTGGAAGAAGATTTCCGAGCGGGTTGAGGCAGGTGTTGATATGAACCTCCAGTTCGCCCCTAACGCGGCAGCAATGATGATGGGTGGACCTAGCAAGGACGGCACCACTGCTATCGGCGCCAAGTACGACTTCCGGGCTTCAACCTTCCGTGCACAGGTCGACAGCGCCGGTAAGGTCAGCTGTCTCCTTGAGAAGCGGATAGCGATGCCCATTGCTCTCACATTCGCTGGCGAAATTGACCAGGCCAAGGTAAGTTAAAAAAAAAAACAAAAAAAACACCTCGGCTAGACCTAGGACGTCATCAGATACTAACATAAACTGAATTAGCAATCCGCCAAACTCGGACTTGCTGTCTCCCTTGAAATTGCTGGCGAGGAAGTTATGGAGCAGACCGAAAGGGCCACCCCTCAGGACATGGTCACTCCTCCGTTCTAATCGCTTCACCCGACATCTCTAATTTCGCCGAGACTAGTAAGGTCCGCCTGAGTTTTCTAAGCAGGAGGACCAACGCTCTTGTTCTGCTTTGAAACTCCTACCTCTTCGTCCTTTGTTTTAGTAGCTATTCCTCCCTCCATGTGCATCTTTGGAAAACGGTGTATTCCCTCTGTTAGTCCGCTTTAATAACGGGTTGTTGGTCAATGGAGGCAGTCGTTTGGCGCCACGGTACCAATTTTGTATAGAATCTTCATATTCTCGTTGATGTTTTTTTTTTTCACTTCATGTTATTGTTTATGGCTCCATCTATGACCGGCGACCCGTTCTTCTGTTATTGTTACTTATCCCTTTTGATGACACTCTTGGCTGGTCAATGGGGGCTCTGCTCGGGACACATGGGAGCACTAGCAGAAAACTTTCCTCTTCACTTACGCATCATAGATGGGCAATGTAAAACATGTTTATTCTCAACAAAAAAGTCGAACGCGGGCCTCTGCAATTTTAGAAGTCTTCAGTGCACCTCGTGCGCCGAGATAAACCTTGTCGCCGCTTTCATTTAACTTCCAGGTAGTTAATTGTCATTCAGTTAACTTAGTTGACTTAATTAACTACCATCGATTAGTAACGCGGTGCCAACTTCGCCTGAGACCGCACCCGGGCTAAACTTGCCTGCTTCTCAGAAGTCACGACCCAGGAAGTTCCAATCTGAAGAGCCAGCGTGACAGCCAATCGTCACTCGGCCATTTACTTGGATCCTCAAGTTTCAGGGACGCCCGGACAGTCGGGCGAACGAAGAGACTTGAAGTGGGTTACGGGAGATTACAAGGCAATCCAGTAAGGATGGTTCCAAGAGCCAATTCGCGCCCACTTTCTAGAGACCCCATGGCACTGAGCCAGTTGAGGCGTGTCCACATCGCTAATTAACTGGAGGTCTTCTAACCAGGTACAGCAGGTATTAGGTGGAGAATGCTAATGCAGAGTAGGCTGTAAATATCTCGCTCAATCAATGTGATTTTGTAGAGTCTGAGTATTCAGCTGGAGACTATACTACTACTAGGTACTAAAGCAGAACCCTATTGCTTGGGCAAAAACCATCAGGTCATTTTAGAAAACCAGCTCGGAAGGCACCTGCCAGAGCTAAGAAATATGGCTATCCATAGGGCTCGCGTCTCAATCTTTGGGTGTGAATAATGACCATGGTCGACCAGGACGGGGATAACTGGGGCATCGATTTCGGTTACAATTCGGTGTGTTCCACCGTGACGTCACATTTGGCCTAGGTTTCTCAACCTCGTAGACGATACTAGACAGCGTGATGTGGACTGGGCGGCCTCGGCCTTCGTTGTTATTCTTCAAGCTATGAGTGGGCATCTGTTGGATATGTGGGAGCGTTGGGAATTGGGTCCTGGCTGAGCGAGTATTATCGTCTAAGCTTTCAACCAAGTTGGTTTCAAGAGCGGTTCAGCACATGCCGGACGCCGAGACGAAGTCCAGTGGCAGGACACATTTTTGAGACTGTAGATTGCAGGGGTTTTAGAGGTCGGGTACTGACCGCGCAATAATGTGCCACCAACTCCCCCCTTGCGATGTCAAACGCCAGGGGGCAGGAAACCATCAATAACTAAGCCTACCACCAGCTGTGGCGCATGCCTCGAAGGCCTTGTGTCTTGTGAGACCGTTCTTTTTTTTTTTCCCGCGGACTGGGCAACGGCAACGGCTTCTGGCAGGTGTTACTTATATGTATGGGGACGAACCTCTAGAGCGATTGATATCAGATAAGAGTGTATCACAATCATCCAGTGTAGCACATCTTTGGTAGCACATCGCGTAACCTCAATGTCAAGCTGCTGTTCCCAATACCCAGATGGATGAAAAGCAAAATTTCCATACACCTATACAGCTGGAAATGGTTTTGCGTGCCGTTGCTACCCATCCAAAGGCCTGGTAGACCGAGCCATTGGCTTGGTTTGTCAACGGGTTCAGGCTAATGCTGCATGGCAGCCCATCTTCGAGGCCCACACACAGGGCTGTCCGAAGATTGGGCTTCGATGTTTCTAGACCCACGGCCCATTGTAAATTACTTGTCCCTCGTGTGCTCCGTACAATGTCCAGTCAGAGTCACCCTTATATGCAGAGGAGTTCTTACCGCATAAGTGGCGGAACGCTCCAGACTGAAACCAAATAATATTAATGGAGGACGGGGGGCGAGAAAGCCCACGGTCTTGTAGAAGCCGCAACAGCGTGGTAGGGGACTGCTGTATTTTGGTCGACAGCAATACTTTCCAGTGCCAATCGTCATTAACAATTCGATCTGAGTATCCACTAATCCAACCATATGGCAGTAACAGGAGTCTGGAGAGAGAAGGCCATTAGCGGTAATGAACTCATTAGGTGCCGATGAGGGATTGGTATTTTGAGATAAATGAACAGTGCTCGCCATCGCCTGCTAGTCTAGGAGATGCCGGAGACTGGTTGGCTGATACTGTAGTTTTATCTGGAAGAATAGCTCCGAGGTGTTGATGTATATACCAAAATACAGCCATTACGGTCAACGGACAATCAATTTACCATGTACAATACTGTTCAGCAGTGATTCCGAATTGCGCAATAGCTTGCTGCGGTCCACGAGCTATGTATTGCAGCGTTCCAGATCCAGGCCAGTTGGAGGATACGGATCTGGGAGAACGGCAGATGCTGCCTAAGAGCAAAGTAGATATGCAACACTCCGATGGAAAGTAAGTCTTGATTACTCCAACACGGCCATTAAGGCTTCTTGGGATGGTTTGTGGTGCTATCGCTAATTACGCTGACCTGTCTTGCCAAAGACACATTGGATGCAAGGTGGAGTAATTAGGTAGTCTATACACTGCCCTTTTGTCAGATATGTTTCAACGAAAGCATTGGACAAATAATTGGATTTTGTATGCACTTCTCTCAAGCCTGCTGAGACCCATACACACATAACGGTAGTGACATGCGTTCTCAAGCAGACTCCTGAGCCCAGAGCCCAGAGTACGGATAACCCCGGTTTAGCGCAGACTTGGGCGTACATATCGTGTACATCAATAAGGTGAAAGTTAAACGGATGGAAATCATACGCAAAGGTTTGGCGAGAAGGCCTGGAAACCACTCCAGAGTTTCAACGCATATGGAAGCCTCTCGGCGCTCATGTGGAACAGACACAAGCGTTGCTGAGAAACATGCTCCGAAGCGACAGCAGTAGACGGAAATATGTCCTCAGACTGCGAGTCTAGATTGTTCCTTACTTAGGATATGTTAAGTCATTTCCTAGCTCGATAATTCTGTCCCCAACACCTGGTACATCCTTCAGAGGCCGTGCGACACCGGCTGGCGCCCCAAACCTTCGTCCCTCCTCCAGGCTTTGTGGCTGATTTGTGAAGTGTCGATTTATCTGGCCGATTAAGGCCGAATAGTGGCCAATGATGTGAGATCTCAGGCTCTCACTGAGGCATTCATCGCAATGCTAAATGTTTCACCCATGCCTCGTGCATTCCTTGTAATATTTCCGGAAGGGGACTACGAAAAACGAAAAAAGGAAAAAGATAAAAGATAAAATCAGAATCGGCATCTCGAGGAGCTGACAATTCTTTCCCCGTTCATCGGGCCTGTTCGTTGGAATGGATAGTGTGGTCCAGTACCTATCAAAGGATCATCAACCAAATCATCTCCCGAAACCCCTCAGGGCGAGAGATCTAGGTTGTCGGTACCTCTTCCATGTAAGATGTAGGCTGGACCCCGGTGAAACCTGAAGAACTATCACCAATGGTTTGGGGTCTGGACGAGGTCGGGCCGAGGAACAAGAAACGATTCTCGAACACGAGCCGTTTTTTTTTTTTTTTTTTTTTTTTTTTTTTTTTGGTGATTGACATTCCAAAAGTGAGCGATGCAAGGCGAAATTAACCAATGCTCCATTGACAGGTAAGGGAATGCTGCATTGAACAGACATGCTACGGAGTAAGGTAGCTCCGCAGGTACGAACACCTACTGACCGCACCTCGCTTGGGAGAAGGAACATCTCACCCAGCAACATGTAAGAAAGCGTCTTTGGATGCGAGGTGCAGGGCGGAAGGAAAAGGTATCCAACTGTTGACAGGGATGTCGAGCTATCCAGAGACGCACTAACAAACTCTGACTACTTGCATGCTCGCCCCAATTCCAGGCGATCAGCAACTGCAGTCTGCTTGAGCCACCAGTGAGTGCATGCTTCGAAATGGGAATAGGAAGAGGAATTGAAGTCGCTGGGCCAGTCTGATTCTGACCTGGCCATTTGCCTCCACGGCCGAACGCCGACGTAACGGTTCGACTATCCCAACGCCTTTCTCCAGCTCGGTCCATGATGGAGCATTGCCCGCTTAATTCAGTCTGAGACCTTTCTGATTTAAGCAACTGCCCAGGTACACTGGAGCTGAAACCCTGCCCCAACCAGCTTTTCCGTATGGATTTATATTATACATACATATGTGAGATTAACTACCTCGGGAAAGTTTGGGTTCGAGCAGCCGCAGCACAAACGTGCGACGACACTGCTCGCCTTCCCAATGGTACCGCCAATAAAAAATGTTGCAACTTGATGATGTATTCTGTGTCTTCTGGCAACAATAATAGAGAATGCTGCTTCCATTTCCAATTATTGAACTAGAAATTGACCTTGCAGTGGCCACTGGGCGCCACCCATCCCAGTGTGCACTGTTGGTTTCATGGTTTCTTGGCCTGAGATCACCATAAGAAATGCTCGTCATATCTTGGATTTACCGAGAAAAGGTCAGAGCTCGACGGAGCAGGAACTACTCGCCTAACCCTACTAGTTCAAAACTAACTGCCACTAGGGTCGAGATAGTCCCCGAGCTACCAATATCTGTGCTGGAGCTCCCAGTCAATGCTCATTGGCTTCACTATCCCTAAGAAGCCGTATGCTTATGCTCTGCAAAAGCCTTTTCTTTTCAGTACTGACAGTTAGTGTAAAAATCTCTGGTGAGACTCTGCTTGAATCATTATCTCATATGAGGCTGCCGAAAACTGCATCATGCGCAAGTATGCGGCGGTTCATGGCGGGTTCTTGGGTGGTGTATCGCGTATTGTTCGCATGCGTAATTACGATACGGAGGAGGCAACAGAAACAGCCAATAAACTCGAGGATAGTGAAAACCGGGCCTGGTCACTTGACACTCCTTGACCAAACACATGGCATGTCTGTCTGTCACCGGGACGTTCAGGTAAGCAGGCGTGTAATCTTCTCCACCGCCACTGGCCTTGAGCATCCAGAGAGGTCACGGTCTCAATAATGCTTCTCGGTGCTGCTTTGCGTACGGGTTCATTGAGAACGGCGGTTCCATGGGCTGGCTCCGCGGATCATCAAAACTGGGCAAGTGAAGGGGAAAATACCTACTAAGTTGGTCAGTCTCTGGTCAATTGCTTTGCATGGGGAGTGACAGAGCTTTCAAACTGCACATATTTGAAGGTATACGAGAGCTCTCCCGGTTTATACCTCAGGGTTAGTGGCTCGGTACCCCCGTTAAATCTTTCAGCTGGTGAGCTTCTCCTCGTCCAAGCTCTCCTACCCACCCCCCATTTTGATTAGCCAAGATTAACATCTCCGGCCGAGTCTCAGTAACAGCTTCGCCCAGGATTGGCCCGAATTAGCGGGTAAATCTGGGCATCATCATGCAGNAATTTCTCGACAACGGTCTGGAACTCCAAGGATTAAGGGAATCCAAAAGGTCACGCCCGAAACCCGGACCATCGTCCCAGGCTCCGGCTCCCAGTTCCAGTGCCCTTGGGATCATGGTCATCTGGCCTTTTGTATGGGGCATTCTCCCACTGCAGCAATTGGTTACCCACTTTGTGTCTTTCCCAATCCCGATGGCTCCACATCAGCCGCTCCCGTCATTGAGTGATCGACCTCTCCCCTCTGGGCCTCTGCAGAGGACCTGGAGCTTTTGGGAGGCTTGAGGATCTAACCACTGCAGCTCTGTTTCCTGCTTCATTCTTTTCTTAAAAGCCAGGAGGGGCTGGAGTCAAAATCTATCTACTCCAATTGCTGTCTCCTACAGCCGATTTCCTGGTGGGCCTGCCCACGAGCAATAAGCTGTTTGTATCCATGGGTCTCGCAGCAGTTACCTTGCTTTCGGCAAGGGCAACTCCTCCCATAGCGTCATCCCTCCCGACCTCTCCCATGACCTTGGTACTGTATGGTAATTACTAATACAGTACTGGCACAGCAAAACCCCTCTTTTTTGACTTCCATCACAGACGGGGGGCATCACTGCCCTCTAGAGTCAGAAAAGGTACCGAGTTGTACCGTGCCCCCAGGATGTTGAGTCAAAGAGAACCGCAGCCAACAACTGAAGATAATAGTAAGAGATCGTAGTACCATCAACCTGACCATGTTTCGTTCTCAAATGACAGGGCGACTCCGGGCAGGGAGGTACTGGGTGACCGAGTCGTGTGTTTTTGCTGATTATCTGGAAAGCCAACGCTATTGTGTAAAATTTGCTATCCTTATGCCGGCGGCCATAAACAGAAATCCTTCGATCCAGACGATGCGAATAATAGTAGGAATCACACATCTTTTTGCCTCCTCCACACACTGCCACAGCTCTGTGCTCAGCATTGGCAACGTCCTACTAAGTAGTCAACTCCTCTGAACTAAATTCACCCAGTCGGCCGTGGGCCACTTCCCTCTGCCTCCGAACGCTTCAAGTCGCCCAGATATTCGGACAGCGTCTTCGACTTCACTTTGCTTTTCCCACTCCAAATCAATCTTGGGACCTCCCCAAATAGAGAGATCGATCGCATTATTGCCTTTCCCGAAGTTGAAATTTCTTTTCGGCGCCTTTCCAGCTTGTTGGAACCCAGACGCTGTCTAGAAGGTGGCATTTGGATAACTCTCATTCCCATCCTCCCTCTCCGGTGCTTTATTCCCGCGTTCCTGCAGCCCTCGCGTGTTTGGGCTTCGTCGCTCCATCAACGTCACCTGCTCACTCCTCTCTCTCCCTCTTCCCTCCCCCGACCCATCCTCTTTTTTAATAATACCTGACCCGTCAACCCACCCTTCTTTGCATCTCCCCCTGCTCTTGTCTGGTTCGCTGTGACTTAATCTCTCTACCTGTTCCTCGAATTAGCTCTCTCTTCTTTTCCTTTTTTATTCTCTTTCTTCCCAACCCCCCCCCCCCTTCCTCTTCCCCTCCTACTTTATTACCTTGTTCCCTCCCCGAACGGAGAAGTGCCCACTATCGACTTATTCGACCCCTCGTCTACCTGCCGCTCGGAGTGCTCCCTGGCCTTGCGTCTGCACTCTTGGCGCCCTACCAACGTCCCTTGGTTCTTGGTCTGAGGTTCGCGAGCCCACAAGTCTCAATGCTTCTCAACCTTTCATCTCTCGCCGACCTCCACTCACTTTCCCTCCCGTTTAGACGTTCCGCCCATCCAACGCACTCCTCCCGACTTGTGCTCCACCGGCCACAGTCTGCCCAAAACGGACCTCACGCCCTGACTCTCACATCCTTTCCCGCCATCCGCTATTAAAGTCCAGCCCGCCATAATCTCGATAGCACTCGTCCGCCCGACCTTCTCCACGCCGTCCCCTCCCCAAGACACTCCGTGATGTCACAGAATCGGTCTGGGGTGTTTTCCAACTTGCGCATGGGTGGTAAGGACCTGATCTCTTGTCGGCTGCAATTGCCGTGAGCCTGTGTATGCATTTCGATCGCTGACTCCGTTCCTCTCCCGTGCAGAAGTCGTCCGAGAGAAAGTCCAAGATGGACTAACGGGAGAAACGAAAGAGATACAATATTCGCAATGTAAAATCGTCGGCAATGGGTCGTTCGGAGTTGTTTTTCAGACGAAAATGATGCCCAGCGGCGAGGATGCTGCCATCAAACGGGTCCTCCAGGATAAGCGTTTCAAGGTATGTACCCATCATTGCTGTCGTCATATCATGCACAAATTGTGGCTCGGCTTCCCCTTGCTAACGGCCCATTAGAATCGTGAATTGCAGATCATGAGGATTGTGCGCCACCCTAATATTGTCGAGCTGAAGGCCTTCTACTACTCGAATGGCGAGAGAGTATGCTCCCTTTATCTGAATATCCGATCCGTCTTCTGTGCATTCCAAAGCTAACCACAGTATAATGTCATCACAGAAGGACGAAGTATACCTAAACCTCGTCTTGGAATATGTCCCCGAAACCGTTTACCGGGCTTCTCGCTATTTCAACAAGTTGAAGACGACTATGCCGATGTTGGAGGTGAAAGTTTACATCTACCAACTATTTCGCTCTCTGGCCTACATCCATTCACAAGGCATCTGCCACCGTGACATCAAGCCTCAAAACCTCCTCCTCGACCCCGCAACTGGTATACTAAAGCTATGCGATTTCGGATCTGCTAAAATCCTGGTCGAGAATGAGCCCAACGTATCGTACATTTGCTCACGATACTATCGAGCACCCGAGTTGATTTTCGGTGCTACCAATTATACAACCAAAATTGGTAATACTCTACTTGTCTCTGGTCTATTCTTAAAAGACGTACACTGACATATCCCAGACGTATGGTCTACTGGCTGTGTAATGGCGGAATTGATGCTCGGGCAACCCCTCTTTCCCGGAGAGTCAGGAATCGACCAACTGGTCGAGATCATCAAAGTCCTTGGCACGCCTACGCGGGAACAGATCCGTACGATGAACCCCAATTATATGGAGCATAAATTCCCTCAAATTAAGCCTCACCCCTTCAATAAGGTATGCCCATACTACCCCGCACTCGCCCGAAGGATTGCAACCTGACTTTGCCCCTAGGTTTTCCGAAGAGCTCCGCATGAGGCTATCGATCTGATTTCTGCTCTGCTGGAATACACTCCAACCCAGCGTCTTTCTGCTATAGAAGCAATGTGCCACCCATTCTTCGATGAACTTAGGGATCCAAACACCCGTTTACCGGATTCACGGCACCCCAACGGGACAGCCAGGGATCTCCCAAATCTCTTCGACTTTTCTAGACACGGTGCGTCAAGATTCCCTACCCCATTATCATGGAAGGCGTAATGTATTCAAGAAGAGGAACCAAGAGGAAATGCTGATTTCGGATTCTAGAACTCTCAATTGCACCTTCAATGAACAATCGAATTGTCCCACCACACACACGGCCAGAGCTCGAATCCCGCGGACTATATATTGACGACTTTAAGCCTCTCACAAAAGAGGAAATGATGGCACACCTTGATTGAGTCAATGGTGCAGTGTTAATGAATTACGCGCTTTCTATCGTGCATTGTTTCGTGCACATATTCGCGAAGATTTGATGCCATGCTGTGCACCCTCATTTCCATGCATCTGGTGGTTTTTGAACTAGCAGAGGTTTATTTACATCTGTAGACCTAATCCATTGGCGGGGCATCCGGGAGCTGGCCTCTGTATCGGTTCGAGGGAAAACAAAATACATTCGGAAAAAAAAAGAGAGGAAAACAAAAAAAAAGATTCGAGCGAACGAGGAGGCATGATGAACCTTTCAACGACCGAAAAGTTCTCTAAATGGTACGGTGAACCGCCATAGGTTCAGAGGAATGGGGCGGTAGGAATGTTGCGATGTCATAGCCTGGAGTTATTGAGGTGTCTGAGACAGCTCTTGGGAGGAAAAAAGTGATACCCTTTCTGCGTGAGTCTGTCTGCCTTTCGGGATGTAAATCTGCGCAGCTTCACTTCTCGATCGATGGGCCATGGATACAGATTGCCGCAAGATTTATGGAAAGACGGGGAGATGAATACCTACACATGGGTTTGATATCATGATGATTTTCTTTTTCTTTTTTTTTTTTTTATTGCTTGGATGCACATGATATGTGTACTTGTGACTGTGCTCTGAATATATGTGTTGGAGGTTTATCCCCCCGACTTACCGCTTTAGAAATCCACGTTCTTCATCATCTTTTTTCTCACGTGCATATTTGCATACTCCTGTCGCTTACAAGATCTTTTTTATCACCCGTTGCTTTACCCAATCCAAGTCATACATCCTTGGCCTTGTTGGCGTTCCCTCAATTCGAATCCGGTGAACCAGGCGGTTTCCAGTGCCCAACAGACGGTACGCGGAGATCGGTTTCACTACATGATGTTTTCGAGGCTATCTTTGACGCTTTCATGAGATGAGTAGCCTATGTGAACGAACTCTTCCCCTAAAGAAAATCCCCGAGCCTTTTTATAGAAAAATCTCGAATATAAATAAGGTGTAGGTAGAGCCCAGAACTCTGGTTAGATAAGCAACGGCTCGGATAATCCCATCTCCCGAGCTCCCCGGTGTTTTTGCTGCTTGACGTACGCGATTTAAGCTACAAGTCCGATAAACGGCCTTTTACACCGAACCGTGTCTGCAGAGCTGAGTGGATCTTACCACTTGGTCATCCACAAGATCTTTCTTGCAGACGCCGCTCTTATTAGCACCAAATCATGGCTGATTACGAACGCCGAAACCACGGCCATAGAGGAGGTGGGCGCAAACGCCGTTATAGAGGTAAGAAGCTGAAAATGCGGCTTGTTTGCCCTTTTTCTACTTCTCAATTTCTTTCCACTAACTGGTAATTGCCGATAAATAGATGATGATGATTACGACCGTCGCCAGAGACGCAGATATGAAGAGCCTTTGGTTGTCAAAGTTCGACGGCAGCTTCTCACAATCGCTGAATCGGTATGTCTGTTAGATGATATTGCGCTTTAGAGGTAGTGGCCATTAGTCTTGCTTACACTATAATTCTAGGCCGCTAGAAGGGCAGAGGATGATGCACTAAGTATTGCGAAAAGCGTGGCTGAGAATTACGAGGATGAGGAGTTAAGGGATAACTTCATTGAGATTGCGCTCGACCTGTACGTTTGCCAGTGTCCTTTATTGAACCGCCGCTCTGCTGCTTCTATACTGACATAGTCATTACTGTAGTGTTTTGGAGCAGCCGTTAAAAATCCCGTTCGTCGCCACAGCTGTCCTTGTTGTCAACACATTGAAGTCAGAGCTCGCGGCCGACGTCCTGAAACGAACAGTTGAGCGCTTCCAAAGGCATGTCAATACTGGCGCCTGGCGGGAAGTTAAGCTTTTTTTGCGCTTTCTGGGCTGTTTACAATGCATCCTTGAAGGGGACGGTGTCTTTGCGGTCTTGGAAGAGCTATTCTCCCGCGCCGTAGACCTTCAGACAGCTTCTTCCGAAGACGTAGGTAGCTGTATCCTTGTGGCCTGCGAATGCACTGACGCAATTTTTTCTTTTCCAGTTGATCGGATTAGAGCTTGTGAAAATTATTCTCTACACGATTCCCTACGTTATGGCCTCCCCAGCTAGCGGGTTCGAAAGCCAGGCTCTCGGGCTTTTGGAAAAAACGGACATTATCGCATCTACTCCGCATACGCTTGTGGATTTAGTGAATCCCTTCGGACCCGATACCCAGAAGTCAACCACTGTTCCCAGCGTTATCAGCTTACTTCAAAGCCAGCTGCAAGCAGAGTCGGCTCGAGATTGGGAACTGGAGTGCCTCCCTCGGCCATGGAACCACGTAAGGGATGGGGACGAGGAGTCGAGGCGTCTCGAAGACGGCCCGAAACATGTTTTCCCTGAAATCACGATACCAAACCCAGTGCAAAACGGATCTAGGGCGATTTTCCCAGAGGTTTACCTGTCAGTGTATGGTGACCAGGAAATCGAAACAGTCCCGCCTACATCAGATATCACGTCTTCTCTGATAAGGGATGCGCTAGTTGATACAATTAACATCATGGACTTTAACCGCATTGCAACCGCAAAGTTCTTGATTGACCTCGACTGTTATTTCACACCCAACATCTTTGTGAAACGGGCGACTCCATTCGATAGGTTGCGCGACCTACCAAGTGATCGCCCAACATGGAAACCGGAGGACGTGGCTGTGGATGCTGTTTTCTCACAGCTTTTCCAGCTACCCTCCCCGGAGCACAAGCTCGTCTATTACCATTCCGTTCTTACAGAATGTTGCAAGATCGCTCCGGCCGCAATTGCGCCAAGTTTGGGCCGTGCAATCCGTTTTCTCTATCGTAGTCTTGACTCCATTGACTTAGACCTAAGTCATCGATTCTTGGATTGGTTCACACACCATTTGAGCAACTTCGGCTTCACCTGGAAATGGAGTGAATGGTTAGTTTTTACTGGCATGATCTGCGTATTATGACACTGCTAAAATTTCTGGAACAGGATCGAAGACCTGGAGCTTCCTATTGTACATCCGCGGATGGCATTCATTCACGGTGCGCTAGACAAGGAGATTCGACTGAGTTTTGCTCAGCGCATTCGCGGAACGCTTCCAGATCCATACCAAAAGCTTATCACGGAAGGGAAAGAAAAGGATACTCCCGACTTCAAATACATGTCTGATAGTAAGTTGAGCTGGTTGGTGAAACTGGATTTTTAGTCAGATACTAACATTCTCACTACCAGCAATGCCGTACGCAAATGAAGGCAGAGAAATTATGGAACTGGTTCGCAAAAAGGCCACTGACGACGAAATTCAACCCCTCATTGCTGCGATAGAAGAGCAAGCAACAGGGCTGGGAGTTGAGAGCCCGCTACTGCCTTCGACTGATGCTTTCGTCACTGCTATCTGCTTCGTTGGCTCAAAATCGCTCTCTCACGTCCTTTCCTGCATTGAACGTAACAAGGAACGTCTGCTAGCCATCGGGCCAAAATCCTCTGCTGCACGCCGCCAGATAATCACGTCAGTCATGGAATACTGGGCCGATCAACCTGGGATTGGTATCAATATCATTGACAAGCTTCTTAACTACACAATCATAACACCTCTCTCCGTTATTGAATGGGCTCTGGTCGACCAGCTTAATGCGGGAACAATCCTTGCAAGGACGCATATCTTTGAAATGATCTCTGCCACTGTCGGTAAAGTCACCAACCGTCTCCGCCAGATTGTCGCGGCACGCACCCAAACCGGCCTCTATGAGCCACAGCTAAGCGTGCTTGACGAGACACTCAATCGCGAAAAGAAAGATATGCATGCGCTTTTCCAGGTGATAGAAGACTCTGTCGTCTCAGTTGCCGGGGGTAGTAATGACCAGCTCATGGAGCGTGGCGATGGGAGCGGCAATTTGCCCGAGGATGAAATCATCCGCCAATGGGGAAAGCGCTGGCTACGTGTGTTCCGCCGCAAATCCGCCGTGGAGGAGTCTTTTATCACTGATACCATGGCCCACGCAACACCCGTGGGGACCAATGCGCCAACTCCCCCTGCTAACACTGAGGAGAGAGCGCCTACGGATGCAGACGGCGATGGCGATTTGGATGTTGCTGATGCAGAGGCTGATGGGACCGCTGATATCTCGTGATGTATGGTGACAACCTCACAAGTTTTCGGGTATTCCGTCGACGCTACCTTACCTAGGTAGCCCGTCCACGAAATAGCTCAGCTTTCCTTAAATTCCTCGGCCTTGTACTTTTTTTGTTTGTGCTCTGGATCGTTCGGCCCAAGTGTGCATAGCGATTCGTACAAGCAGGTGTCGTGTAAAATAAATTTAGGCAAAACAGGAAGAATAATACAATATATAACCTCGGATGTCTCCCGAAATTATTTGTGTAGCCTGAACATATGAGACTGACACTAAGTGCCCTGGACAAAAGAAATTACCGCTTAATGAATAGCGTACAATCTGAGTGATCAATTTGTTTGAGAGTTCTTGGATAAAAAGTCCATGTGTACGTTTATCTGAACTTGCGTCTTGCGAGATATCTTTTCATTTAGGCTATGTACACTCAAAAATGCCTTCCCTTGCGGCGAGTAAGTCTAAAACCCAAGGGTGCCGCACTGTATCCCGAATTGTGACGGTAGTGGTGCATCACATACACGCCATGGCACGTAAAAAAAGAGAGTTTTAGCAAAATTATTAATATAAATACTAGAAGGTGTTAATACAGTGTGACATTAGGGGTGTAATTCACAAAACGAAATTGCGAGGGAAGAAGAGAGAAGGCAAGGGTAAAAGAAAACGTCAACCTCGTGTCACCCCGAAAAGGGAGTCATTGACTCATGCAACTTGAGACGGAATATGGTAGAATGAGTGAAGCACGCCCTAGCAACTGGGAACCTTCTCAAATTCAATTCACTCCATGGTCCTTGATCCATTGTAGGATCAGACGGATATTTCAGAGGTTTTTCTTGCTGGCCTCTTCCGTGAGGTACTTGCGGTCATCCTCACCTTCGACGTCTTTGAGGATGGTTTCCATCTCCTTGGTCTGCCTCTTCCACTCATCCTCGCCCATCTTTGTCTCACGACGGAACAGCTCCTCGTTTGGCTTTCGGTAGCTGCCACCCATGCGATCCCACAAGGTAGTGAATTGACCATAGTTGTAGTTGAAGTATAGATGATGCATCGTGTGGCAGGCTGCCCCGTTTATTACCGGGCTATTGGCAACATATTCACCATCATGGATCATGACAGTCCAAATATTGATGAAACCGAACAGGACAACATAGGCTACCTTTTGCAATGGGAAGACGAACGGGAAGAGGTGGTAGGGAACACTCTGGGACCAGCCATCAAGGGGGTGGAAGGCGTGGGACGCAAAAGGACTAGGCATAATCCACTTGTGGTGAGGCTTGTGCAAGGTCTTGTAGATAAGGGGATGATGCAAGCCGCGGTGGATCCAGTAGATAAAGAAATCGGTAAAGGCGATGAACAGAGGGAATTGCAGAATACTGTAGTAGGGAAACGGTTCCTCGTCGAACGTATCGTAGAGTTTGGCGTAACCTCGAACCTCGGCGACTAAGAATGGCGCTGTCAACAAAGACATGATTGGCATTGAACGCATAGTTTGCGCCATCTCCATAGGGATCTGGTTTTTGAGGAATTTCGGATGTTTGACTGTCGTCTTATCCCAGATGAACATATACGAGAGAGTTGCGGAAATAAAGTAGACAATAAAGCCGAAAATCCTGTGGCGCAGGGAGAAGTTAGCGACTGGGGTTGTAGACAAGCTGAAGCGGGTGGTGGACAGTAGCATACCAGACAATCAGGAAGAAACTTAAGAATTGGCGATAGATATTGTTTCGCGGCCACGCGCTCATGTAGGCATATTTGGAAGGTTCTAGGTAAATGAGCTTCGTCGCAGGCTCATAGACAAACGGTTTTGTTGCGCCGAAAAGCGAAAGAGTGCTGTTGGCGGCAGTCGGGAAACCGGGGACAGAGAGACTCGAGGACAGCGACGCAGGGAGGAGAGCCGAATAGAGGCGGTCCCCGACGACCGTGTCCCAGATTTCAAGAGCGATATCCATTGTTGGAAGGGGGTGCGCGCGAGAGAATCGACGGCAGAGAGTCGGGACTATCCAATGCTGGAGAGAAAGAGGAGTTCTCAACAGGAGAACTTCTGGGACAAGGAGGTTCTCCTGGGCGTTCTAAATAAAATTCGCCGGCCTATGAGAAACAAGTCTCGCATCACACCAGGCGGAATCCGTGCTGCCGTCTTCCCCACATTATGTACTATTATTCAGTGTGCATATTTCCTGCTTACCAAATCACTTATGCTCCAGCCTCAGCAGTGACGGGCGTCTACTCCCGGCCAGGCGCCACTCGTTTTTCGGCTGCCGCTCGCTTCTGGCGCCAGAGCCAAGAGCGCAGCCGCCCGCCTTGAGACGATTGCATCTCCGAACGGGCCCCAACCCAACCTAACTCTACGAATCCGACCTCCTCATCTTCTCATCTCCCACCACTCATTACTACCCTCCCCTGGATCGCATCCTTCTTTTTCTCTGCCCTGTTGCACAGCTCTGGGCTCGTGTATTCCTTTATCACCTCCTTCGCGTCCCTTGTCGCGAGCTCCTAGGGGTGCGTTGAATGCGGCAGCATTGACCACCTTCCTGCTCCTAACAAGTCTTTCCTCGTCTGGTCGGGCGCAGACCCTCACAACTACCCTACATCATGTACAACGCACATCGCGGGATGGTTCCTGCTCCTAACTCTCGCCTCAATGAGTTGCTGGATCAGTTGCGCCAGGAATTTGACAATCAGTCGAGGAGTACTGGCGAGTTCGAGCATCAGTGTACGTCCACTTCCATCTCTCGCATAGCAATCCCTCTCAATCGGGGAGTGGACAGGATGCGTGCTAGGTTCACATCGCGCTTTGAGAAGAATTGGCCCAATTGACTTTGCGACGAGCTTTACTGACGTATAATACTGCAGTAACCGGGCAGCTCCAAGAAATGGAGATGATTCGTCAGAAGGTTTTTCAGCTTGAGCAGGCACAGATGAAGATGAAACAAGAGTATGCATGCCTCTTGCCTTTTTAATTGCTGCCTTTGCATGCAAATAAACTAACCCCGATATTGCTCTCCAGTTATGAAGCAGAAATCCGCATCTTGCGACACGAGCTTGAATCGCGTGGCGTGCAACCCGTTTCCTCCCATGTTGCCGGCCCTGCAGCGCATGGTGGTCCTTCTCAAGCGCCCCCGCCTGCATTGGGCCATGGTCCCAGCAATTTGTTTGGTGGTATTATGGCGAATCAAGGAGGTAGTGGCCCCGGTCTTGCCCCTCCCCCTCCCCAGGATCAGCAGCCACCCCAGCATACCCTTCAACAGCCTGCCCCAGCGGCTCAACCAGGAGCACCGCAACCACCGCAGGGCTCTTTTGGAGGATATCAGCCTGGCACTGCTGTGAACGGTATGTTTTGACTGTGTTTGAAAACAGATTATCTGACATCTGACCATCGTTTTCAATATATTGTAGGATACGGTCCTCCACCTCCCACAGCTTCTCCCGGGCCCGGAAAGCGCCCTCGCGCACCTCCTGGCCCTGCCACCCCGCAACAGACCCATCAACTAGCGTACCCGGATCCCCGCGGGTCACCACAGCTCCATCGACCGACTCCTCCAAGTCAAGCAGTCGTCCGCGACCGTCCTGGAAACATGCTCGCCAACTGGAATCCCGATGATTTGCCGGTTTCCCAAAAGAAAGAGGGCGCTGATTGGTATGCTGTTTTCAACCCCGAAGTGCAGCGTGTCCTCGATATCGAACTTGTTCATCACCTCGTCCATGACAGTGTTGTCTGCTGCGTGCGTTTCAGCCGCGACGGCAAGTACCTTGCAACCGGATGCAATCGTTCTGCTCAAATCTTTGACGTGACCACCGGCCAGAACGTCGCAACTCTGCAGGATGAGAACGTCGATAAGAGTGGCGATCTCTATATCCGCAGCGTCTGCTTCAGTCCTGATGGCAAGTTCCTAGCCACGGGCGCAGAAGACAAGCAGATCCGAGTGAGTTTCGCTCCCTATATTTCAATACTCTGTTGTTTGGCCTCTACTGACCGGTTTGCACTTCTAGGTTTGGGATATCGCTTCGCGAACCATTAAGCACATCTTTACTGGCCATGAGCAAGATATCTATTCCCTAGATTTTGCTGGCAATGGTCGGTATATTGCCTCTGGCAGCGGGGACAAAACCGTGCGCCTCTGGGATATTGTAGAAGGCAAGCTTGTCTACACCCTTAGTATCGAGGACGGCGTTACCACAGTCGCCATGTCGCCTGACGGCCTTTATGTTGCCGCTGGTTCTCTGGACAAGACTGTGCGAGTCTGGGACACTACTACCGGTTATCTCGTCGAGCGTCTTGAGAATCCCGATGGCCACAAGGACAGCGTGTACTCCGTTGCTTTTGCACCGAACGGAAAGGACCTTGTCAGTGGCAGTCTAGACAAGACCATCAAACTCTGGGAACTTAACCTGCCTCGCGCATACAGTGGTGGCGGGAAGGGCGGAAAATGTCTTCGGACCTTTGAGGGCCACAAGGTAAGATACAGTGGTTTCCCGTCGTCGCGCATCGTGACGCTTCACTTTGTCCTACACTGACACGTAAAATCAGGACTTCGTTCTTAGTGTCTGTTTGACTCCTGATGGCCACTGGGTAATGAGCGGCTCTAAGGATAGAGGCGTTCAGTTTTGGGATCCGATCACTGGAAATGCGCAGATGATGCTTCAAGGACACAAAAACTCTGGTTCGTATACCCGATTCTATTGCCTAAAAAAAAAAAAAAAAACCGGAGGGAAACAACGTGAAGTGTTATCTAACATGGCCGAATAGTCATCTCAGTTGCCCCCAGCCCTACTGGTAACCTGTTTGCCACTGGCAGTGGTGACATGCGTGCCAGAATCTGGAGGTATGTTTCAATCTATGGTCCCTCGTCTTTTCTCCTTGGGTACACGAGCTAACTATACCAACCCCTTTGTAGATATTCCGCGTACACCGGACGGTGATTATTGGATTTGGGAAAGCTTCGGCGTCAAATGTGATCTCGATTTACTGTGATTCTACTTTTTTGCGTATCTACCTCATCTTCTTATAACCGAGGCAGGCCAGTGCAAGATCAGCGAAGCGGTTAGCTAACGGTCTTGCGTGGTCTCTTCTTTTTCCCTTCCCTTTTTTTTTGTATGTGTGTTTTATCTCAGCTTTAACCAATTGTACGAATTGTGTCTAAATTAAGTTGATCATATGAAATCAAACAGGGGGGAAAGTCCACAAACTAAGGGGTTTCTGTATGGTTTAGGTATATTATTGTTTGTTTCCTAATTCGAGTCGAGACTTTTTTATTGATTTAGGTATCTTGAGGGAGCTGAATGCAGTTGTCATAAGAGTACAAGGATAATATACTACCACTCAAATGTGGCATCTGCACAAATTATACTTATATCCTGGTTGGTAATGTGAAAACTTGGCTGAATTTTTGGGTTCTCGCTTCTGCATGTCACGGTCGCTCAGTCCTGGGCGAATGAATATGTCTATCTATATACGTACAAGGTGCACCTTAGATGCACCCAGGCGCAACACAACCCGGGCTTCAAGGCTTGCATCCAACAAAGCGGAACACCACTGTAATCGCCCGGGCTGTATTATTATTTGGATAAAACACCAGGAGTTTGCAGGACCTGCAGGATCGAATGAGCATAGTCCACCGTCCGGCAATATTTCTTACCATATTCTCTGGACTTCGCAACTCAAGCCTGCTCTTGTACCCTGGCGATACTCCAAGATTCTGGGGGGTACCGCGAGTGGCAAGTTCAGCATTGGGGGGGTGTCAATACATCATGCATGTAAGCATAACCACAGCGCATCCCGCATTACCCCTATTGTTCGGTGCTCTGTCCCCCTTTCCCTTCTGCTTTTCTTTATTTCAGGGCACATAACTGGAAAGGGGAAAAGCCGAGAAGTTCGAGGCTTGCGGACACTGCGGTATATGTCGGATGTTCGGCATTCACGTCGATGATAATCAAGTTGCGATGGGACAACCATGAACTCCAGAGAATGATGTTCCCACTCGATACGGTGGGAGAAATGGGGAGAACGGAGGAGATCACAAACAAATCCATAAGAGCCTACTCCGTATGCTTCTTGCAAATCAAACTAACTAGCGCGGGTTCCAGCTGGTGTGGTCCGAGCTGATGTGCAGGGATATAAATTCCTTTGCCACAAGTACATGGATCATAGATGACACGATCAATAACGGTTTGGGCATTATCAACCCCAAGGTCCCGCATATGGAAGGTGACCGGCTTTGCTTTCAACAAGTCATCGCCGAAACCCAAGACAAAGCGATCCGCTCTCTGTTTCCAATGAGCCTGGTGGCTTGAACTCGGGATTGCAGCGTGCCAAATACGCCCCTGACGGGAAGTGATGTATCCTGCCTTATTGGTGCGAACATTGTTCACCGAGTTTGGTTTAGGCGGTGCTGTAATTGGTCGAGATACACCAAATAATCCCACTATCTCGGACGGTGTCGGTTGCGAGCTGACAGGTCTTCAACCCTCGAACTTGTGCTTGCGCTGCTGAGGGGTATTTTTGCTCATGACCTTAGCATCAGGGTTACCAGGGAGCGAGACTGCTCCGTGCCTTTTCGGGCCCTAGGCTGGGTAATTTGGTGTTGGCTTCCGATGGGTTGAGCCTCTTCGGTTCTCGTCTGGTGGCGACATATCGCACCGTGCGGGCTCGCAAAGACACGCCCATGGGGCCCAGGAGCTGGAAGATTACCGAGGAGGATGATCACGACGAGGGAACCCAGTCGACCTGCTGGCGGTATTTTCTTGCCATATCTTGCCCTGTCTTGCCCCGCCTTGCCTGCGCTGGTTGGCGAATCGTGAGAAGCCAGCAGAAAATCGCCTAGATTGGTGTGACGGACTGCAGCTCCTCCTGCACTGCCCTGGGCTCTGATCACCCAGCTGGCGAACTATTGGAGATTATTCAGTCGCGTTCCCTTGGACGAAGGCATGTCCAAAACCTGCGAACAACCAGGCACTAGCCTGGTCATCATGGATGGACCAGCTGCACATCAGGTTCTTGAGTTTATTTAGCCTCCCCTGTACAGGTCTCTGGACCGCAGCCGCCATGGCAGTCTTTGACCACACCATTCGCTACCTCAGTTGCTTGTCCAGTTCTTAGATTATGAGACATGAGTCAGGAATCAAGATTAACTTCGGCTTAGACACCGTAATTCGTCAATACCGCCTGACAGGAGAGAAAGGCACGAGGAGACTGCGGTAGAAGTTGTCCGTTCGTGCTTCATGCAGGAACTCCGGCAATGCGGAATTTAATCCAGACGGTTACTCCGTCCCTGGGCAGCCACCCAAGGAGGCGAGGCCTCGAGTCTCAAAATGCAATGTGATGTGTATCATCGACCCTGTCTTTGCGCTTGGTCTCCATCGTTCGAATTGGGGGTCTTCCGATTTGGCCGCCGGGGTCGATCAGGTACCAGGTTTCAATGAGCAGACGGCCGGCCGTCTTGCAGCTAAAGACTCGGTCCTATTGTTTTTTTTTTTTTTTTTTTGGTAATTTCCGCTTTGTTCAAGGGACCAGATACTAGTAATAATAGCCCTACATCCCCCGTGGTCGTCTGAGATTTTGGCCCCTGACTGGGACACTGTAAAATTCGGGATGACGCAGCCCCGGAGGAGGCTAACAAGATCAAAAATAATAGTCGAGGAAGACTGGCCCCTGAGCATTGCCACGACCAGAAATGCAAGCCACCAGCCATTGGGAGCTTCCAGCTCTTCCAGCCGCTCAGGCATCGAGCCAAAGGGTCGGCCCGTTCCTCGTCGAAGAAGAAAAACATGAGTGATGCTCACAGGTCATAACGATTGATGGCTACGTACCGGTACTCTGTACGGGGTGCTTTACGTGGTTTATATGGTCTGAAACTCTGAATGATTTCAGCGATCGATTATGGCCAAGGCCTGACTGAGCCCACCAACTCCGAATCCCCAACTCAACCACGAGTTGTGCTACATGAAAAATCACGATATGTGTATGGCACGGCCGCAAGCAGATTATTATTAGTCTTTTTGGCTCGTTAAATTGAGGTTTTGGATCCTATTCGACCATCGACCAAGTGAGCGTGCATGCATTGCCAAGTCCGTGTCTCATCAACCGGATCGTGTTACGGAGGAAGAGAGAATCTGAGCACATATATCACGCATGATCAAATCTCAGTTTGTTTTCAGGTGAGCTTTGCGGTGATCCTCATGAGCAGAAAGTACGAACTCGGAAATCACTGTCAGCAGTCACTGAAGGCTCTTGTCCACACTCGAAGGACGAGTGCTGTTATACCCCATACTCAGTCAAGACACCCACCGTTCCACCTGGATTGCTGGGCACTGGGCTGCCTGGGCTGCTAGGCTGCTTTCAGAATAGTGCTGAGCCCAGTGGTCCAGAGTGGGCATGCCGATGCCGTCTCAAGGTCCACTCCATAACACCCATTCGACAAGCCAATTGACAAGGGACGAAGAGAGTCAAGGACCCAGCAGTGATCGATACTGGGATCTGGTACAAATGATTTCACTGGTTCACCTGTCCATGCACAAGGCACACATTCTTGTGCAGTGTGCACATCGAGTTTTGTCTTGGTTCTTGGCAAATTGTGTCGCCAGAGCCTGGCGGCGCCTTGTTCCCGGGAATCAAATTTCGGGAAATGCGACGTAATGGGGCTCTGCTGGCTACGAAAATCGACCCGGTAGAGGCGGCCCAAGAACTTAGATGTCAGATTGTCATCTTTTATCTCGTGGTGTTTCACGACCGGATTCAGTAGTGGCACTGGTGGTGGTGGGAAGTGAGCTGGAGGCCGCCCTGTCATCGGCGCAGCACCTGTTGAGTGTTGAAAAGAAAGGTTTTTTTTTTTTTTTTTTTTTTTGCTTGGGGAGGATTTCTGGGTCGCCAGTCGCGGCTGGTGCGATGAAAAAAAGAAAAGGGAGCGTGGGGGCGGCAGATCGAATGAGCGTCCAGGCAATTGCGGTACTCTTGGATCTCCCGCCGACGGTCGACGCGGTCCGTTCTGGGGCCTTGCCGAACCCTGCGAGTCTCGTAACTCAAATTATTGCTGCCAGGCTGCAGGAGAACACCATTTGTCCATTCCGAAATCCAAAGCTTTGGGTGTTTCCGATCAAAGAGCCGTGAATCGACTCATCTCATGACAGAGTGTCAGCGCGATGTCATCTTATGGATTTAGCCAACGAGAGGTTCCCCCGGAGCCCTCGGTCATCTTGCAGCAGATATGCAGCCAGTCTGGGTAGTGTCATCAACTCCGGGGTTGCATCCAGGATGGGGATCGGGCCACAGAGTCAGATACTGCTCTGTCGAGTTCGGGAATGACAGGCCCTGCAGGGTGGTTGTCCAGACCGCGAAGGAGAAACTGCTTTGTTTCTGTTTCGGTTTCTGTTTCTTTCGAATCTCAGATCTATAGTTTTTCTTATCAAACTGAATCGAGGAGGGAATATGTGTGTGTTTGCGTCTTTGCAAGGCCACGATCTACGGTCGATGCTGGTCCAGGTGATGATGACTGCCGATCCGCTAATCAGCGTGGCTTTTTATGAAACCACCCCCCCAAAAATCCCAACACCAAAGGTGCCTGCGTGGGAAACGAGGGTATCCCAGTCAGCAGGAATCATGTCCATCGCTCGGCTATCGTGATTAATCGTGCCTTGACAGTGGGTTGCTCGAGGCAAATGGCCCGTCAACTTGCAGCCTTGGTTATCCGAAGAATTTCTCTCTCAACATGTAATGGAGACGAGGCACTACGGCGTTCGCAGTAATGATTGTGCTTTGGACAGAGCTTTGTCTAACCATGCCGATCATCACCTTCACAGCCAGGGACGACAAACTGCTTGACGAGGCCCACGTTCTTGTGGTTGGATTGGCCTGTGTTCACGCTCCGGTCCACCTTCCACCATCCACTCGGGTCAGATGATCTCAATCGAGCTATACTCAGCGGGTTCCGGATTTTCGGAGGCCTTGTTCAACTTTTTTTTTTTTTTTTTTTTTTTTAAAAAAAAAAAAAAAAAATTATAAAAATCTGATTCGTGTAATGGGAGAAGAGCGCCCAGTGGCTGTCTGTCGACATTTGGCCAGCCTCGTTTGACGATGGGGCTTGTTTGGGATCCCACGAACTGGTGGTTGATGATCAGCGCAACTCGGAAAGAAACCAAAGATCCAAAGGCCCCAGCGTGGCACAGGTACCATGAAGAATAACAGGTGGTGTGCGGTTGCCAATGTCAGCCCGATCGGAACGTCACCGTGCATGCCGTGATTGGATTCGACTCGCTCTCGAGGCAGCACTGGCTCCTGTCAGTGGCCAGGAGTGGTCCGTGACCGTGATTCATCCCGCCGCCAGATGCAATAATCGATGGGTCGTCGCTCCAGGGATCCATCGCGGCCGCCCCATCGTGTTGGGCGGGTAAGGGAAAAATGATGAAGGGCCTCGTCTTCGGATTCTGGGTAGCGTGGACACACGACTGGACAAGTGGATTAAGGCACCGGGGAAGACTAAATTAGCGACTCCGGACTTTACCTGAGCTGCTTCTCACTAAACTAAGACGGGAATCACGTCTTGCCTCCTGTCGCCAGGCCTGTCAATCAACATGGATCATGGGGGGGAGCTGAGCCGCGAGTAAAATGGTTTAGGAATCAGAATCCTCCATGGAGTCCATAGCTCCATATTATTATTATTGTCCATGCCTCTCGTCAGTCTCCTGACAAGATGCCTGGTGGGGCCGCGCGAAAAGAACCCTAAAGATACCCATCAAATGTTGGTGATGCATCGATGACTGGTGAATCTGTTCGAGCTCTTTCATCCTGGGCCTTTCCCTTTTTGCCCTTTTTGGGGGCTTTTTATTTTTTATTTTTTATTTTTTTTTCTTTTCTCCGCCCCTTTTCGTTTTACCTACCGCCCAATTGTTAATTTGAGGGGCCTGGGATGACAGGAAAATACTTACGTCTCGACGGAGTACTCGGAGTACTTGTTCTTTCTTGTCCACGGGATCTGACATTGGGTGCAGACTGCACGCAAAAAGGAGGCCCCCTATAACAAAAAAAAACAGATATCATGAACAAGCAAGACCCCTGTCATTGGGGGCCCCGCTGCTTCCACTGCTCTGGGACACCGGAAGGAAGAGGCGGATAAGCAATAAAAAGGAAGACGACAGGGTG